AGCTATTAGTTACGTCTTCATTAGTTAAAGTTATTAGTAACGAATAAAGTTATGGTAACTAATAACCTTAACTTTTCCGAATTTGATTGTAATGTAGTAATGTGCACGTTAGTAAAGCTACTTTGAAACATAAATCATAGTAAAAATCGCTATACAAATAAATATGAATTGAATCGATGGGCCGATATTAAAAAAATACTAATTTAAAGTAAATACTTGGGCGACGCAGTTGCGCAGTGGGTAGCGCTGTCGCCTCACAGCAAGAAGGTCAATGGCTCAAGCCTTGGCTGGGTCAGTTGGCATTTCTGTGTGGAGTTTGCATGTTCTCCCCGTGTTGGCGTGGGTTTCCTCTGGGGGCTCTGGTTTTCCCCACAAGTCCAAAGACTTGCGCTATAGGGGAATTGGGTAAGCTAAATTGTTTGTTGTGTATGTGTGTCAATGAGAATGTATGGGTGTTTCCCAGTGATGGGTTGCAGCTGGAAGGGCATCTACTGTGTAAAACATGCTGGATAAGTTGGCGGTTCATTCTGCTGTGGTGATCCATGATGTGTAAAGGTACTAAGCCGAAAAGAAAATTAATAGTAAACAGTATGGCTGTTTTTGAGTCAGGCTACTATAGTAGCTAAAGAACCTGAAGTGTTCTGCAATTCTATAGTTGCTATGGTAATACAAGAACTATAGTAATATAAACAAATCCTCCAACTCTTGGTTTTTATACAGTATCTTATAGTACATTACTCTAGTAAAAACTAAAGCACACTACAGTGTTTAGTACATGTTATCCGTTCATTGTAGTTAATACTACACTATGCTGTAGCATAGGGGAGAGACTGCAGAATTTTAATAGTGTAATAGTGTTTAATAGTGTTTGTGTGTTTTTCTCAACAGAGTTATCTGCCTTGAGGACTGAAGTCGTCAGCTAATGTTGTTTCCTGAACAGTTGTTCATAATAAATGCATGCTTAAAAAGACATTGCAGTATTTGTATTGTTGTTCTACACTTTACATTGCACATTAATGTATTCAGGCTTATTATAGTTCACTAAAACTATAGAAGTAAACTCATGTTTATTTAAAGCTTAACTGAAATACAAATGCATGAAGACGCTGTATTCAATACTAGGCTAGTTCTACTATTTCATATTTTTACATTTTGAAATACTACTTAAATATAGTGAGCTAGTAATAATTATATTTATTTCATATTATATACAGCTACATAACATGAATAAATGGCCTTATAAAATGCAACCTTTTCAGTGTAACAACTCTATATATTTTGTTTATTTATTATTAATTATTTAACACTTTTAAACGGCAATATTATTGCCCATATGTACTTTTAAAATCATTTATGTCCTTCAAGCACTAGCTAGTGCACTAAACTCTTCCACTATTATTATACCGCATTGATCGGATGCCGTATACACATACAATATTTTGTTCTTTACAAGTTTACGTCTTCAATATATCTTTAACACGGTGGTTCTCAAACTGTGGTACGTGTACCACTAGTGGTACGCGGGCTTCCTTCTAGTGGTACGTGGAGGAATAAAATATGTGTACATGCTACATATATTTAAAAATCGATCAAAAAGGATTTTATATATGAATAGGATGACATATAGCCTATATTTATGAGGTCCAGGCAACATTTCCAAGTGATGATAAATAGGCTACTACATGTTAATACTTTACATTTAAGTAAATAAATTTTTTTTTAGCTGTTAAAAACAGTAACCTATCATTTTTAACGTTTAAAAGCACATTTTAATTTAAATGTTGACGTTTTTAGTTTGTTTTCGTTATTTTTAGTCATTTATGTTTTAAATACAGTGTTAATATTCAAACTATTTATAACGTATAAAGTAGCTGACAAAAATAAATAGGAATTAAAACAATAAAATAGTAGGAATTAATCTGCCTCGTTTTGGAAATGTGCAGAGCTGTAGCTGCTTTACTGGGCCTACTACGCTACTTTATTTCAATACTGATCATTATGGTGGTACTTGGAGAGACAATTTTTTCCGAGGTGGTACCAGGGGCGCCCCCAAGGGGTGGCCAGGGGTGGCCACGGCCACCCTTGTGTAAACTCTGGCCACCCCTGTGGCCACCCCAATATGATAGTTGCTGATATTATTAATTTAAATGTATTTACTTAAATTCACAATACTTCAATAAATAAATGAATAAATAAAATGCAGCCAAATTTATTGTGGATTGATCAGCGCCACTGACGAAGCTGATTCACTGAGATTGCACACTTTTAATTAAGAAATTATTATTTTTGAAATGAGAAAGTTGTGTTTCATCTGATTAAAAACCACAAATCCAAAATAAATAACTAGATACATTTTGAAATCTGCTTTTCAAAATTTTGTTGGGTTTTGTTTGGTTTATTAATTCATTAATTAATCATATTCATTATTCATAATTCATTAATGTTAGACATGGCATATATTGTATGTTGTACAAGAAATAACTTACCTGAAAGAGGTTTTAGACTAAATATTGATTTTTATTTGGTTTGCACTTGTACTTGCGGAATAAATTACAATATTTCAAGAGTAATTATTGGAATTCATTAAAACTTCATTATTTATTTTACCAAAAACTAAAATATAACATTACTCTTTATTCACAATATATACACAATTCATAACTTTTTTGTGTGCCACCACAAGATTTGTTGTGGCCTTACTTGGCCACCCCTAAGAAAATTTTCTGGGGGCGCCACTGGGTGGTACTTGATGAAAAGAGTTTGAGAACTACTGCTTTAATCCTTAATATGTAAAGTAAAAACTAGTCTGTTAATGTTTGTACAATATAATTTGTTTGACATATTTAAAAATAAAACTGTATATGTATATATATATATATACACAGTTGAGGTCAGAATTATTAGCATCCCTGTTTATTTTTTCCACAATTTCTATTTAACGGAAAGATTTTAACAACACATTTCTAAAGATAATAGTTTTAAAAACTCATTTCTAATAACTGATTTATTTTATCTTTGCCATGATGACAGTACATAATATTTAGCTATTTTTCAAGACACTTCTATACAGCTTAAAGTGACATTTAAAGGCTTAATTAGGTTAATTAGGTTAACTAGGCAGGTTAGGATAATTAGGAAAGTTATTGTAAAAGATGCTAATCTTTTAGAATAGGCTAATCATTTTGACCTTAAAATGACTTTTAAAAAATTAATAACAGCTTTTATTCTAGCCGAAATAAAACAAACAAGACTTTCTCCTGAAGAAAAAATATTATCAAACATACTGTGGAAATTTCCTTGCTCTGTTAAACATCCCTAAACAACATATTTTAAAAAGAAAAAAAAATCAAAGGGGGCATTTATTTTTTATTTATTCAAACATTTATTTTATGTATATGTTCTTTCATATATTTTTAAGTTTTAATTATCATTTCAAATCAAATCACTTTTATTGTCGCATCATCAGCAGCACGTGTGCTAGGATGAGTGAAAAGCTTAGGTGCTGGCTCTGGACAGTACAAAATACAGTTCAAGAGTTCACACTTAGATATTGCTTGACAACTGTAAGCAGGTTTGGCATGCTGTCCCGGGAGAGAACCCTGAGCTCGGAGATAGTTGAGCCCAGGGCTCCCGCCAGGTCCATAGAGCATGTAAGGGGAGTACGAGATCAGGTGGTTCTCGAGAGCTCCCCTTTTTTAAAAGGAGGTGGATGGGGGGTTTCTTCGGAAAACGAAGGTAAGGGAGTAATTTCTAGCTAGGCTATTTATAGTAAGTTGGGATAGATCTGACTGGCTAACTAATGAGTGTAGATAGGCGGCCAGCTGCGGTCAATTATATCACGTGCTCCTCTCGAAATTAGTTTAAAAACTTCACATGCAAAATGCAGACTGTGCAAATACAACAACAATGTGAAATTGACAGCGAAAATCGATTTTTAAATCGAGTACTTCCCATCTTTAACTCTTAAAGTGAGTCATGTCCTTCTTCTAGTGCACTAAACTCGTCCCCTATATACCGCATCGATCAGATGCCGTTCATCTCCGAACCTGCTGTAAAAGAGTTACACCACGGCAGCTACATTAATCAATATTACAATATTTTATTTTACGTGTCAAATATTTTAATGTATTTTTTTTATTTTCATAAGTTTTTATTTATAATTTACTTTTTTATATAAATTTTGGCTAGACTTTTGAACAGCACCATTTTATCTTGGCTAGATAATTTAACATTCGAAAATATTAATTAAATCATTAATCACACACACACACATTTATATATATATATATATATATATATATATATATATATATATATATATATATATATATATATATATATATATATATATATATATATATATACACATATATAGAATAATTTATAAATTATGTTTAACAGAGCAAGGAAATTTTTCTATAATATTTTTTCTTCTGGAGAAAGTCTTATTTGTTTTATCCCGGCCAGATTAAAAGCAGTTTTAAATATTTTAAAACCATTTTAAGGTCAAAATTATTAGCTCCTTTAAGCAATATTAGTTTTTGATTGTTTACAGAACAAACTACTGTTATACAATGGTTTGCCCAATTACCCAAACTTGCTTAATTATCCTAGTTAAGCCTTTAAATTTCACTTTAAGCTGAATACTAGTGTTTTAAAAGATACCTAGTCAACTATTATGTAGTGTTATCATGGCAAAGATTAAAGAAATCAGATGTGTATATAAAGCCACACATACACACATTGCATACAATATTTTACATTTCATCTTTACTTTCATGTAGCTATTTGAAAGTTTTTATTATTATTATTTTTTACTACAACTAGCTAATTAATTTCCCGTCTTTAACTAAAGTCAGCCATGTCCTCTTCAAGCACTAGCTAGTGCACTAAACTCGCCCGCTATTATTCCGCATTGATCGGATGCCGTTCATCTCCGAACCTGCTGTGAAAGAGTTACACACCGCGGCTGATACACAAACTCCTCTCCCCTCCCCACCAACGTCACCAACCATCCCTCCGAAACTAACAACATGGAGTCCGGTGTTTAGAGTGCAAAGGCGGTCGGTCTTCACCGGGAGCTCCACCGCGGCGCTGCTTTTCTCGGTGTCCGCGAATGCAGGCGGCGACGCTCCGGCACGCATAAAGCGCGACGCACACATGCTTTACATGAGCCCGAGCCGTCGAGCCTCTTGAATGCATTTAGGACACGAACAGAGCGATGTGATTGGACGCAGGAGATTCCCAAAGACAGGCCGCTTTCCGTGAGTCTTGCACAATTTCATCCTCACCGCACACTCACGCACACGCGTCCTGGCTGGGAGATGTTTAATGGTCTTACATTGAGCTCACTCACGGAGAAAGGCGGTGTTTAAATACTGATAATGCCAGTTATTTAGAGGAGTCCATATTTTCGGGAGACTACAAAAAAAGGCCTGTTATTAACATAGGAAATGAGGCATGATAAAATAGGTCAGACACTCCTCAGAAATATACTATACAGATTTGTACTCTTATTAAACATGCTGCATATTTCATAGGTAGTAAATTGAAGCATTAGTTCACTTACTGAATGATAATGACTATGTGCTGATGATTTAGTCAATCACTAGACATCTATTATGTCAATTTTTTCCTTCACTTAATGGCAAATTCAAATTTTTGAGGATTTTTCTGCATATCTTTTTAGTTAAATGCTAGTTCAAAGCACCCTAAAGAATCCCAGCCAAGACACAATGACGCTACATAGGGAATCAATCTGTCATTTCCTTAAACAATATGAATGTATGTACTTTCCCATATAGAAATCTGATGGTATCTGTTTGGATTTCCCACTCATACACTCACCGGCCACTTTATTAGGTACACCTTACTAGTACTGCGTTGGACACTCTTATGCCTTCAGAACTGCCTTAATCCTTCGTGGCACAGATTCAACAAGATACTGAAAATATTCCTTAGAGATTTTGCTCCATGTTGACATGATAGCATCACACAGTTGATGCAGATTGGTCGGCTGCACATCCATGATGTTAATCTCCCGTTCCACCACATCCCAAAGGTGCTCTATTGGATTGAGCTCTGGTGACTGTGGAGGTCATTTGAGTACAGTGAACTCATTGTCATGTTCAAGAAACCATAGATGATTCACGCTTTATGACATGGGGTGCTATCTTGCTGGAAGTAGCCATCAGAAGATGGGCACACTGTTGTCATAAAGGGATGAACATGGTCAGCAACAATATTCGAGTAGGCTGTGGTGTTGACACGATGCGCAATTGGTATTAATGAGCCCAAAGTGTGCCACGAAAATATTCCCCACGCCATTACACAACCACCACCAGCCTGAATGATTGATAAGGCAGGATGGATCCATGCTTTTATGTTGTTGACGGCAAATTCTGACCTTACCATCTAAAGCTCGTAGCAGAAATCGAGACTCATCAGACCAGGCAATGTTTGTCCAGTCCTTCTATTGTCCAATTTTAATGAGCCTGTGTGAACTGTAGGCTCAGTTTCCTGATCTTAGCTGACAGGAGTGGCACCCGGTGTGGTCTTCTGCTGCTGTAGCCCATCCGCCTCAAGGTTGGACGTGTTGTGTGTTCAGAGATCCTCTTCTGCATACCTCACTTGTAACAAGTGGTTATTTGAGTTACTGTTGCCTTTCTACCAGCTCAAACCAGTCTGGCCATTCTCTTCTAAGCTCTGGCATCAACAAGGCATTTGCACCCACAGAACTGCCGCTCACTGGATATTTTCTCTTTTTCGGACCATTCTCTGTAAACCCTAGAGATGGTTGTGTGTGAAAATCCCAGTAAGTCAACAGTTTCTGAAATACTCAGACCAGCCTGCCTGGCACCAACAACCATCCCACGTTAAAAGTCTCTTAAAGGGTCACGAAACACCAAAACACATTTTTTGAGCTGTTGACAGTCGTATATGTGTCCCACACTGCTAAAAACACTATTAGGACACCTATATTTCACTAAAAAGTGTAAATTGGTTGTTTTTGCGTTATTTCAAGCAAATTCGTGCTTCCTGTTTGAAACGAATTTTTGAAGCTGCATCACGGCCATGACATAATATCGTTGTATTCCAGTGTGCAGACTGGACGTCTGTGCCCGAGTGAGTCTTATTACGTCTTACAGTGTGATGCATTAATGCATGAGTAAGGCTTGGGTCAAACCAATCAGCGCACTCTATTGTGCAACTTCATTAATATTCATTACTATCACCGTGTTTTCAGGACAGAGACGCCACGTTGTGTTGGCAAAACAAGCGTGAAGTGTTGCTTTTATAGTTTGCTGCAGTTAAGTTTCGTTTTCATTTTCTCTCTGTGAGAGCTCAGCTGGAGTCACGTGTGGATTAACAGTGTACGCGACGCGCGACAACAATAACTTACGTGTCTAAGGAGGATTATTGTTTACCTGAGAGCTGTTCTCATCTGCAAACGCTGGGATCTGGAATCGTTTGTAGTATTCTCTTCATAAAGACGCGGCTAGTTGCTGGTGATTGTCCTGTCTCTACAGATTTGGTAAGTGAGCGACCAGTGCTCTGTTTATTCAGTTTGTATTTTATTCGTATCAAACAAACTATTGCACCAGTGTAAACAAGTTAGCATTAACAGTTACAACCAAACTATAACCCTGTGTGTGAAAGAGCCAAACTGCAGTTAAAGTCCACCATTTAATAATTTGGCTAATAATTCGACTACAGATGTCCATGTAGGTTAAACACCATCACATTCTCCTGTATGTATGTGTGTGTGTGTGTTTATTTTGACTCTGAAACTCGCGCGTGCCCAAATCGACACTCCCACACCCTCCCACTTTAGTTCCTCCGACACTCCCCCCTAAACAGAGCTGGACACGCCCACTTTTCTGACTTTTTCCAAAGAAGAGGTGTGAAAACACCCTGCTGAAACGAGGGGGTTTCATGGCCCTTTAAATCACCTTTCTTCTCCATTCTGATGCTCAGTTTGAACTGCAGCAGATCGTCTTGACCATCTCTACATGCCTAAATGCATTGAGCTGCTGCCATGTGATTGGCTGATCAGAAATGTGCGTCAACAAGCAGTTGGACAGGTGTACCTAATAAAGTGGCCAATGAGTGTACATTGTGATGTATGCACCATTATATATATATATATATATATATTAAAAATGGCTATTAGCAAAGGCAGACAAAATCTGTGGTGCATTTCTGCTCAGAAAACACCTTTTTCCCCTCAATATAGTGATTTAATACCATATAGTGGACTTCTTTGGTACTCAGTGATTTGTATATCCAAACTGCCATTTCAATGCATCCTAAAAGTGCTATAATCTGAAACACTTTACCTGTAGGGGGTGTTCATAAGACTGTCATAACACCTCTATAATCACGACATGACAAATGTCTAAATATGAATGTGTTTTTAGCAACTTGACATTAACAAATGCATCATAACCTGTCTTTGTCAGCTTGGCATTATCAAGACAACAACTTGTCATAAATCTGTCATAAACATGTCATTGGCCATCATAATAGTGTCAATTTGGAACAAAAGGAACAATTTGTACTCGTCATAAAAATGTCTCATTAATACTGTCAAAGAGATTTATAACAGCATCATTAATAGTTGTTGACAATTGACAAATTAAAGACAAATATTAACGACGCTGTTATAAAATTCAATACACAATTATAAGAGCCTCATGATTATGATCTGATTATGACAGATTTATGACAAGTTATGATGTAATTAGTTGATATAGTGGAGCATGGTGCTAACAATACTAATGTTGTGGGTTCGATTCTCGGGGAAAGCAGGAAGAAAGTTACTTACAGTATGAGAAAAGCCTAAAATTCGCTAATTGCACGAATGTAAGTGTATGATGGTCAATCAGACTTTGTGTATGTTTCTCCAGAAATGGAATCGCTCTTCATAATGTAGGACAGGAGAGGAGAACTGCAGCTGCACACAAACCCTTGCACCGGGGACCATGGAGCCCGAGGACGATCTCTCAACTGGGGACCCACAAGATCTGATGTCCAGCCAAGCTCTACTGCCTTCAACATCCACATCCCTACTAAACTGCTCCTTCCTGGTATAGCCGAGACACTAAACACAATTGCCGCCTTTATCTTTGCATCCATTTTCTTTCTTTTGGGTGTAGAATATATAAGTGATAGTCATTAGATGCATCTCAGTCCACTCCCCTGCTTGGTTCTCTACTCATTAGGACGTCATGCTTCACATATTAATTTCATAATGTTTAAAAAAGTATATCATAGATAAATAATGTCATATATGAACAACATGTCAACCATTGATCATTTATAAATGTTAACAATGCTGATTTATGCTGATTTAAACAGTCAACTTTATCAAGTGAAATGAGTGTAGTTAACTCAAAATTGGCTGTTAAGTAAATTCTACATATTTGAAAAGAGTTTTGAACTCAGTGTTGAAGCTAATAAGTTAAATAAATACCTCATTACTTCAACTTAACTGGAGTAAGTTCACAGTACACATATAGATTAGCTTTTTAACTCAAATGGTTTGTAACATTCGGTTTCGTCCAACGGTTTGAGTTGCCTCAACTTGTTGAGTATTCCAGTAATCAGTTGATTTGAGTTCTCTTCATATAATGGGTTTTACTGTGCTCAGATCGCTTCATTTACTCAAATGGATTAAGTTCACAGTACTCATTAGGATTAGTTTTTTAACTTAAATGGCTTGTTGCAATTGGTTTCCTCAAATGGTTTGAGTTACCTTAACCTATTGGCAGGGGCGGATTTAACCAATGAGCAAGGATATCTGGGGGCCCCCAAATAAATATCCAGAAGTATAAATTATACCAATAAATGATATATAAAACATCCTTTTTGATCATATTTTGTATGACGAGGGTCTAAAAAAAATAAAAGTCAAATTTCTCATGACTTCTGCGCAAATGTGTCCCCCGCCATTAATCATGGAGCAGTCCAGCAGTCAAATCGGGTAAAGATTTAGTTTTAAAAACGTAATTAAAAGATTAAACATGTTTGATTAAAACGTAATAAAATGAAAAAAAAGTTAATATATTATTTTAGCCGTAAATACATTTTAAGGAATCAAATCATTTTAGAAGTTTCAAAAGATGTTGACAAAATATAGAAAATGAGATATAAAAGTGATTTTAGGAAACAAAAGCAAAATGGATCAATTAAGAATAAATTAAAGTACAAACTTCTGGGCCCCATGGCTGGAATTGCTTAGGGCCGCCAAATCACTGAATTCACCCCTGCCTATTGGGTTTTACAGTGTGGGTAAATATAAACGGATAACAGTTTCTTTTGTAAACAAATTCTCATTTGTCGCAATTTTTAGTGAGTTGGTTCATGTAATTCATAATTTTCAGAATCTGTTAAGGGAATATAGTGAGCACTGATGCTCTCTGATTTTCACGGTGCACTGTGGGACTTCTTAATGAGCAAACATTTCAGCGCAATGGAGATAAACTGTTATGATCAAAATAAGGGTCTGAGAGAATCCAATAGCAAGTGACAATGTTTATTTGACAAAGTCAAAATGAACAAACAATAATAGTGACAGGCTAGGAGGACGAAGAACCCAGGGCAGGAACAGACAGGATAACAGGGTCCAGGTAATTCTCCTCAGGGACCTGAGCACAGACAACACACACATGAGCAAGTGAAACAAACTGACCAAGAAACATAGAAACGTAGCCCAGATATAGGCACAATAATGAGCCTCAGCTGGCGAGCTAATCAGACCAGCTGAGTGTCGTCATAGCACGTGAGCATAACAAATACACATGGACAACCAAAACAAAACAAACCCACGTGATCAAACATACACTCCGGAAAAGCGGACAAACCTGCAACCCTCACAATAAACATCTGCTCAAGGAAGATGGAGGGGAAAAAAATCGATGGTTTGGAAGACAAGTAAAGCTGATTGTCATTGGCACAGCAATGAAACTGGATATATTTCCGGAAAATATAGCCAAGAGGAAGTAAATAGATGATGAGTTGGAGAGGGCTCAAAACAGAACCCTGTGTGACACCAGTAATAATAACCATAATACTTCCTAAATAATATAAATAAATAATAATTTATATAGCACTTTTCTAGACACTCAAAGCACTTTACACAATGGGGGGAATCTCTTTATCCACCACCAGTGTGCAGCATCCAACTGGATGACGCGACGGCAGCCATATTGCACCAGACCGCACACCACCCACCAGCTGATTGGTGGAGAGGAGACAGAGTGATGAAGCCAATTACGATATGGGAATAGTTAGGAGGCCATGATGGACAGAGGGCAGATTTGGCCATGATGCCAGGATTAAAATTTTTAACCACCACAGAGAGTCGGAACCTTAGTTTAACGTCTCAGCCGAAAGACTGAGCAGTATAGAGTCCCCATTAATAAACTGGGGTATTAGGACCCACACCGACCGCAGGGTGAGCACCCGATGCTGGTCTCACTAACATCATTTCCGTCAACAACCTAGTTTTCCTATGTGGTCTCCCATCCAGGTACTGACCAGGCACAGCCCTGCTTAGCTTCAGTGGGCGACCGTGTGAGAGTTACAGAGAGCTAGCTGCAGGTGACTCTGTATAATCTTAATTTGAAATTTGAGCTGTAATTCATAAGTTATCTCATATGGCTACATGGGATAGTAAACTTCAGAATTTCAAGGGAGCTGACTGAGACGCACCCATTGCCTTGATAAAGTTAGATCAATTTTTAAGTTTATTATATTGCATGGCTCTCTGAAATACTTACATCTGATTGGTCAGTTGCTATATTTGTGGTGTCATTCCCCCAATAACATGTCATTGTTTAAATAAACTCTAAATAACATTACGCTTACATTGTATAATAGGTATAAAACACAACACACCCGCTGCCATCTAACATGTCTCCGTCTCATGTCTCCAATAGTAAATATGTAAATTAAGTAAATTGAAAATATGAAATTGGAGGAGCTTTTCATTAATAGCACTGTAACACTGATTGTTTTGTACAAAGTAATGTACTATAAGCTATTAGACCATTAAGATTTTAAATGAGAAATTATATGAAAGTACCTTAAACCTTAAATGTCGATTGAATTTTAGTTAGTAGTTCATTCGTAGACCAGGGGTAACCAATCTCGGTCCTGGGGGGGCCGTTGTCCCTGCAGGGTTTAGCTCCAACTTGCCACAACACATATGCCTGGGTGTTTCAAGTATACCTAGTAAGACGTTGATTAGCTTGTTCAGGTGGGTTTGATTAGGGCTGGAGCTAAAATCTGCAGGACTCCAGCCCTCTAGGAATAAGTTTGGTGACCACTGGTCTAGTCTAAAAACAGCCTGTCGGCAACTGAGACTTTCTGTAAGAATCATTTAAAGTAGTGCGCTAGTAATATGTTATTCTTTAAAATCATTTTTTTGTGTGTCCAATTACTTAATGTTAGAAGTTGCCATGTATTAAGATGGATAATGTACATCCAGCCAATGGTTATAAAAAAATAAACCACTTCATGGTGATAAAATTTATGTTGGAGTCTCGATCACTTTGTTGGTTGCAAATGGCTGGATGTACATTTTCCGTCACTTATGTTGATTTTAGAACAGTTAAGGCACTTTTCTACTGCACAGTACAGTATGGTTTGGCTTATTTCTCTTCGCTTTGCTTCAATTTCGCTCATCTTATTTTGCATTTCCACTGCAGTTTAGTACTGCTTAAATTGGGTGGGATTATCGCTATAGTTGTGCTGTCTCTACTGCCATGGCATCAACGTGAATATGATACAAAACAAATGTGTAATAAAAACCAACTTACAGCACAGAGGCAATGGATGCTACAGATGGAGGGATATTCTTAGGCAGTGGCTGCTGCTGAGTATTTAAATATATGGGGTTTGGCGTCCAGGGCTGGAAAGGTTACTTTTAAAGTGTATTTTACTACACATTACAAAATACCTGCTTAAAATGAAGTGATGATGAGTTTTGTTAGGTTACTGTACTTGCTCTTTCATGCTGCATCCCATGCTTTAAAACTAATCCAAACATACCAATAGTAACCAAATACCAAAACAACTGGCACAGTTTCCCAAGTTATACAGTAGATTTGTTTAAAGAACGGACCAAACTTTTAGGTGAGTACTACTAGCAGTTGCTAAAGATATGTTTTTTTTTAATGTAGAACTCACCTCAGTGGTTAAAGTTCCCATGTTTACCTTAATTAACATTAAAATGTAATACTTTTAGGTTTAACTGTAATTTAATTACCACATATTTAAAGGGTAATAATAACGAAACACAGTACTTATGTGTAACACCATTACATGTTGGTCTGGGGGTAATGACACAAATTCAATGATGCTGATAGTGACTATTTTCCAGGACCAATCTGGGATCAGCAGTTTCAATATCACATGTTTTGTTAATGGTACAACTTGCTTGGAACCTCACCTCAATTGGTACTAAAAAACATTTGGAAATGCTTCCAAACATAAGCCATACAGAACTAAACCATGCCGTAGCATGCAGTGGAAAAGCACCTTTAAGCCTGGTTTATACTTCTGCGTTAAGTGATCGGCGTAACCCACGGTGCATGCAACGCGCGTAGCTGTGCATTTATACTTCTGCGCGCTGTCTCTGTTGGTCTGCATTAACACTTCTGAAACGCTAGTTGGCAGTGAGGTGTTAATGTGTCTCTGTGTCGAGTTTGTTCGCTGTTGTTTTGTTTGTCCTGAATGCTTCCTGAATGTACAAGTGGCTCAAACTCGCTCATTTTGAGGCAGGAACTGGCGAACATGCAACAACTTTAACTATGAGGTAAACACAAAACAAAACTTTCCATCCGGAGCTCCTTCACAGGACTTCACACTTGTAAACAATCGATCCATCCGGCTCGCGCCGCTCGTCACCAAGCCTACCAATCACAGAGCTTGTGCTACGCGTCGTTGCGACGTGTAGTTACATTTTTTGAGAGGTGCATGCCAGCGACGGCCACAGCTTAGGGCTATGCGTAGCATACGTGTGCGATTGACGCAGAAGTATAAATCAGCCTTTAGTATACACCTGGATGAGGATCTTGCAACATTTGATTTCTCTCCCAAACAGAACTGGTAATATTGGACTTGTTTCAACCTTCTGAACTCACAGGGGGAGTTACTGAATTGTGACGACATTGAGAAGGGTGATGGAAGTGGGGATCCAGAAGGTCCAAACTGCTTTTTCACCACACTGGAGAATTGTGACAAAACCCAGAAAAATCTACGATCTTCAGCCTTCCCCTCATCTCTCACATGGGACTCGGACTCAGAGAAAGAAATCTTGGATGGTAATTGAGCCTTTGCTTCATTATTTTCATGCCAGAGAAGAAACTCAGACCTGACTTTGCAGTCATTCCGCTAGTATCAAGCTGACCTGTGTTTGTACTGTGAAATTGTCTTTCTGTAAACAGTGTAATAGTTCTGTTTGTCTACTTGCTGTAGATAATGACTGTGAGTCTACTGCTTTCTGTTAAGTCATGTGTATATTGTTTGTGTTGGATTCCAATGGTTTATGTCAGAGGAAGATCTTCAGCACTTTTCTAACCCTCATGGTCTGGCTGCTCACAGCCCGGGATGTCCCACCTCTGGACAACATCAAGAAAGGTGAGATACAGATGCTCATAATGAAAAGCAGATTAAGAGAAAGGTATATACAACAGGATTTTAAATGTTAATGGTTTGATAGAGAGAAATACTGTTATGTGGCCTAGTTATCATTATCCCTATGCTTACAGATTTGATTCTGATCTGTGCCAAGAACCTGTGGAAACCGAGCACTTATTTCTTGAGAAGGTCCCACTTGCACCTCTGGAGGTGGAGAATCAAGATGATGTTACATGCAAGGAGCCAAGATCTTCAGACTCCAGCCTACTGAAACATACAGCAAAACGTAAAATAAAAACTTTGAGTATGTTCGAATTACTTTCAGTTGGGGCTTTCGCACAGGTTATAGGAACTAGGCACTAAGAAATATAGTTCCCACAGAGGTATTTTCTTTGTCACATTTACGGACTCACTAGGAAGTCTAGAGTGACATGCGAGCAATATTATAGGATGGGATCAGAGCTGTGATTTTCATGAGAATGAACATGGAATCTACATGTACAATTTATGTGACTGAAAGAGCAAAACGGAGGGCTAAAATCATTGTACACTTATGCCACTAGTAGTAAATACTATGGTGGGTCCTTAGTCTAAAGTCATATCACTTTCTCATTGAAGGCTGGGACCAGTCAGTACCTGGATGGAAGACCACATTGGAAAACTAGGCTGGAAACTGTCTTAGTCAGGCCAGCATGGCGTGCTCACCCTGAGGTCTGTGTGGGTCATATTGTCCAGTATACTGGTGGAGATTCTATGCTCTCAGTGAGCACTGTCTTACAGAAGAGATGCTAAACCCAGCTCCTGACATTGTAGTAATTGAACATTCCATGGCCACTTCTCCTAAAGAGTAGTGGTATAATCCCAGTGTCCTGGCCAAATTCCCTCTGTTGACCGTTAATCCTCATTACCTACCCCCATCCCCATCCACTGAATTGGCTCTATCACTGTTTACCCTCTCCACCTGTAATGTGGTGAGTGCATTGGCACCGTTGCCTTGTGGCTGAAGTGAAGCACATGCTTTGGGTGGATGGTTACACACAATGAATGCACTATATAAAATGTACCTTTCTTCCTAACTAAAGTAGTAACTAATTTGTACCGCCAAAAGGCATTCCTAAAATGAAAATCGCTCCCATTTATTGGGATGCTGTCCCTTTTGCAAGTGGATCTATAAACAATGGAAAGTTCCTCTTGTGCGGAAGCCCCTAATGATATTCTGTGGTATGAAAATCTACTCTGATCAAAAACCTTTAACTAATTACTTGCAGTGGAACAAGACAAAGTAAGCAGCCTACCAGGTACTATGCCAAAAAAGGTTTGCCAAAAGGAAGACAAAGATAAGCGGAAAGTGCTTAATCGTAAAGGGCAGGAAGAGGAAGAGAAGAGCACCAAAGAGGCAGATGTGTACACCTTTCCTGGAGACTCTGAGCCAGAGAGTCCACCACCTGGACCTTGGGCACATTGCACCTTCATCCAGCGGAGAAGGAAAAAGAGGGCCATACTACGGCCTTTCTCTGGCTTGGGCAACTGTCAACAAACTACAGGAACTGGCAAAAGAACACGAGGAAGACCCCCTGGTAAAGGGCGCAACAAAACCACAAAAGATCGACAGGCAATGCTCGAATTTACAGAAGAAAAAACAGAAAAGGTACGGAGAAGGCAGAAGGCAGTAGTAGAACAACCACCTGATGGAAGCCTTTCCCAAGATATTTTTACATGTGTAGAATGTAGCATTTACTTCAAAAAGCGTACCCATCTTTGGGAACACATGCAAGAGCATGGTCAGGTCAATAGATCTGGGCAAAAATGGCAAAGTGGAGAAAAAGAAGCTTGGAGCGGACATCTTAACAAAAAAGCTTTTGAATGTATAGAGTGCGGTCAAGAGTTTTTAGACAAGGTACTGCTGCTAGATCATAACCAACGCCATGAGGATTCTCGGCAGAAAATTCTTGAAGAGATTGGTAAATTAAGTGAGGGGGACAAGCGTGTGGCAGAGCAAGCCAGCTGCAGTAATGCATTGGAGCCAGTCATCCAAGAGCCAGCAAAGGTCAGTGGTGGCCAGTTGGTTTGTCTTAAGTGCAACTTTAGCACTGATGTGCCTCAAGAGCTTTCTGAGCATGCCAAGACTCACACTACCCGCAAAAGAGCTGGTGTCTATAGGACTTCACCCAGATTCCAGCAAAGGTCCTGCAAGAAAGCACAGGTCCAGTCCTCTGCAGATATTACACCAACAGATAACACTTCACCTCCAAACAAGAGATACCCCATCAGAGCATCCAAAAAAAATAAAGAAACTCAACCTAGCGTTGGCTCTTCACAGGACCCTTGTCAAAGTGCTTCCGCAGCCACAGGAAAAGAAGACACAGATCAGCCTGTTAAAGCAAACTTGCAAGCAAATACAGACTCTGCAGAGGAGTCAAGAAAAACAGAAGAGCCAACTGTGGATATTCCTATTCAAGAGAATGTTCTGGAACTTCAACATCTCATTTTACCATCATCAAATCCAAGGACTGTTCCAAGGCGTAAGGATGTGGCATTTAAGAGCATTGGGAACAAACGAGGCCGAGGTGGAAGGGGCCGCAGGAGAGGGAGTACAAGGCTGGATTATAGGTCCAACCTAAATACTGGTGTAAAAACACAAGTCCAAATTTCAAACCAGACTGAATATATGGGCCATAAAGAAGATAATCCCACAACAGAACCAGAGGATGATCAAACACAGGTCTCCAAAACAGGTTAGTCATAACCAAGTTAAAGCATGAAGTCAGTGCAACTATGGCAAGGTTTTAGTTCCCAGAGAAAAAAAAATACATGCAATTTATGACACATCGCTTTGGAAAAGATATTAACCATATTCATAAATGTAAATTATAAGTGCTTACAGTTACGTAATGTTTCAGCTATTTTAATTGTTTTTTCCAGAAAGACAAGTATCGGTTTCTCATACGTTCTTTATAATTTTGTCACATTAAATAATACTGCCATTAATCACCAGAAAAATTAGAATTTGCTTTTGCAATTCTATATACATCATGTACATTACCTGTCTTTTGTCTTGTAGTGATGCATGCATACTGTATGTGTGAGTGTGTATTCCATATTCTGTTGTCTTATTATGATGCCTAAGTCAGTTAAGACACATTTGTTCAGTACAACTCCATGTTTGATTGGCTATTGGATAAAAGAGTATAGTGACTCTCATCGGTCTTGGCCAGCTGTCACAGTTGTGTGATGTTAAACTACTCTCCCATTGGTTGATGCTCACTATTAGCCGCTGCTGATGGTAAAGTTATTTTCTTCTATCAGTTATCACTGTAGTATAGTCAGCAAGAAAAAAAAAAACCCTATTCCCCTAGCAATTCTCAGTCAAGCGCGAACCTTTTGCTACCTTACTGTTGGGCTAGGTAACCTTACGAAAGTGTCCCAAAAGAAGTGATATGATACTGGTCGCTATTTTGGTACTTATGACAGTGAAATCAGAAATAAATGTACACCATACTGTACTATACTGCTCAGTGGAGATGAGCCATTGTTCAATTGAATCATGCTTGGCCATAAACCTGGGCAAATCCCAGGATTCAACTTGGTTTAAACCTGGTCCCTTCACCTGCAGACCTTGTGGAGTTGCCTCCCCTGGCCTTGCAGCTGAAGAGCAGCTTCTCAGCCAGCCTCCAAGGGGCAGCAGAGATGCTGGGGCTGGTTGAGGGGCAGGAAGCCCAGCTAAGAAACAAGTTACCCGTGGTCCTCATAGAGTCTCTCGACTCTGACTTTCAAACTCCTCTCTCATACAGCTGGGCAGTAGAGATCTTAAATGGTTGCAGTGTAGTCAGGCTTAGATGCTCCTGTTGTAAATGCTGAGCCCAAAAATGAGAATTCTGTCTTAATTTAGTGACAATATACCCCAATTTACTGTTACTATATACTTTACAAATAAGTAGTTCTTTTTAAATACCTTGTTTCACCTTCTAAGAGGAAGTCAAGAATTTCGGAATTCAGAATTTTAGATGAACTACTCCTTGAAGTCAGCTTGTCGTCATTCTCATTGCATCCCATGCACATTTAGTTTAGAATTAACATCTAAATAATGCAATTCTGATCTTGCGTTGATTATATACAATTTTACATTCAACTTTTACCTCAGGCAAGGAGTCACCTGCCACTGTGTTGAATCTCAAAGCAAGTTCCTCCACACCAAAAAAGAGCAGCAAAAAACTGGTTGCTGATGACGAGGAACCCAAGCTCAGAAAAGACAAATCTAACAGTCCTGGGAAGATTGAAGAAAACACAGCAGTTCCTGAAAAAATAGTGATGGAGGAATATGACGATGATGAATATGAAGACGATGAAGATGTTGTCAGTCGTCTAATTGGTGCATTAACTGAGGAAGATGACGATGATGATGATGACAGAGATGGGTTGTTGAAGAGTGTGGAAAGAAAGTGCCCTTATTGTCCAGATCGATTCCACAATGGCATTGGACTAGCCAATCACATTAGGGGTCACCTGAACCGAGTGGGCGTGAGCTACAATGTTAGGCACTTCATCTCCCCAGAAGAAGTTAATGCCATCGAGAAGAAATTCTCATATCAGAAAAAGAAGAAAAAAGGTGAGGAAACTTTGGAATCTAAATGTGGATTTGCATGTGATTTCTATTTTTATGATACAGAGGACTGTTTCAATGTTGCATTTCTAAATTAGTTCTTATTTTGATACAGTTTTACTTGATTAAAATAATGTTTTAATGTTCCATTGCCATTTGTAGTCGCCAACTTTGACCCATCCACCTTCAGTGTAATGCGATGTGAGTTCTGCAGTGCCGGTTTTGACACCAGGGCTGGTCTCTCCAGTCACGCCCGAGCCCATCTCAGAGACTTTGGCATCACCAATTGGGAAGTCACGGTATCTCCCATTAATATTCTCCGACAGCTTTTTGCCAAGCATCCAAATCTTGTTCTACCCACTGCCTCCACTCATACTCTGCAGTCAAGTCCAGAGCAAAACTCTGACGAAGAGCAAGAGAGCAGAAAAGATATGAAGGATGAGGACGACATGACAGCAGAACCCGACACCTTTTCCTCCGTCTTTCTGAAACAGTGCTGGAAAGAAGAGCACGATATCAGTGAACCAGAGGGTGAGTGCATGGGATTTACTAAATCTGCTTGATTTTTTCGATACTTCTAAAGAGGAAGCCTAAGAGTCCTGTTATAATTTTTTTTAATTTGCAAAGTTCTTTAAGTAACTCCTAAAACTTCTGTTAAAAATAACAATAATGTCATAAAATGTTTGACGGCTGTCACGGTGGTGCAGTGGCTAGCACGATCGCCTCGCAGCAAGAAGGTCGCTGGTTCGAGCCTCAGCTGGGTCAGTTGGTATTTCTATGTGGAGTTTGCATATTCTACCCATGTTTGCATGGGTTTCATCCGGGTGCTCCGGTTTCCCCCATAAGTCCAAAGACATGCCCTACAGGTGAATTGGGTAAGCTAAACTGTCCATAGTGTGTGTGTGAATGATTTGAATGTATGGATGTTTCCCAGTGATGGGTTGCAGCCGGAAGGGCATCTGCTGCATAAAACATATGCTGGATAAGTTGGCGGTTCATTCCGCTGTGGAGACCCCAAATTAATAAAGGGACTAAGCTGAAAAGAAAATGAATGAATGAATGTTTGACAATGTTATTCAAGATTGTGCAAGGTTTCTTTTACTACTCAAATGTAAGGATGTTTGTTTTTGTTGAAGCTCAAGAAGATTATTTGGAAAGTTGTAAAGTCGTACTTGATAACAAGGAGGCTCTGCTCGAGCATTTGGAGTCAATATAAATTATTAAGTGCGTACTGTCCTTTAAAGACCCCCTATTATGCATTATAAAAGGTCATATTTTGGTTTTGGGGGTCTCCAACAACAGGCTGATATCATACTTGCCAACACTCCAGTTTTTCCCGTATTTCAGACCAATCTCTCATTTTGCTATGTCTCCCGGAAAACTCCTGGAATTTCATCCCCCCAGCTTCTCAGCCTTCAGTTCGCATACCTGCCCCCCACCTCTCTTCAGTCTTCAGTTTGCGCTGCACATCAACCCCCTCCCCAGCTCTTCAGTTCTCGCCTCCTTCTCCAATCATTATCTTATAATATACGTATACTTTTACCTAATTATCCCAAAGACTCCCATATGATTTGTTACCAAACCCCTCCTTAGTGTGGTGCTAATCTGTGCTGATAGGTCCTATGACTAAGTCTGTTGTGATTGGTCAACTGGGTTCAGCGTGAGACGAAGAGAAGCGCTCAACATGGTTATGAAGTAGTTAGAGCACAGAGTATATGCATGAGCTCAGTGCAGGAGTGCATTAAAGCAATGCAGTTAAACATCAGTATATTCCTCTATCCTTAACCATAACCCCAAGTAATATCAACGACACACATTCAGTATTAATCCATACAGTGGCAAAAGCTGAACTATTTTGAAAATTGACTGCGCCACGTGTGTGAGGAACAGCTGATGGTGGCCAACGACAAACAGCAGGAGATCGCGAGCACAAACGCATTTAAATTTACCAATTGAAGAAGCAGGCATCGCGTTTTTAACGTGGTTTTGGACGCAATATGTGAATAACCCATGCAGATTTAACCTGAGAGAGACATTACAATCACTGATCTATGATAGATAAGTGATTACAAGCCGCGCAGAGCGATAAGAAATTACAACACACAATTAAATACATATTTTGCAAACTACAGAAACTATTTTAATCACGCTTACATGTTCTGGAGAATGACTTACAGGATCTGGAGGAAGAAGAAACTGGTCCATATAAACCGTGTAACAGTTACTGACAAATCCCATACATTAGTAGTCTTCGCTGATCCTTTCTTTAATAACAAACGATAAAAAATTTTGATAAAAAATTTATCAGAAAAATGACAGGAGCAAACAGAGCACATGGTATACTGTGGTGTTGTTGGGCACCTATGGTAAAAAATCTACTTTTCAAGCCGTTTGGAAAGACATGTGTGTAAGTATAGTGTATAGACCGTCATATTGGGGTGATATAAACACACCCAGTCCTTTTTCAATTTAGCAAAATAAAACGGTGAACCAATTGGATTGGTTTTCAGAGCTAGCGCAACTTGACGTAGGAGTGCGGTCCCCCCGCCCACCAATATTGATTGACAGGCGCGTCATCATATCCTCAGTTTGTTGATTCACGTCTGCCATTTTCAGCGCGAGTCAAAGCGAAATCGCTAAAGGAACACCCTTGCTCTATTTTCAGAAGTAAGGCTTATTGGGCTCAACACAAGATCAATATTCTCCACATTATCACTCTAATCGGAATTATTGGTTGTATCTTTAAGTAAGTTTGCAAACATGTGTACTTTTCATTGCGTCTACCTTAAACTTCAGCCGTTTGCATTTCTTACGTTCACAGAAGCTCCCTGTGATCTTAACTAGCTGCAGCCGGAAAAGTGCAAGCGCGTTGCATAACAAACTTGCCTGCAGGTCCCACACCAGAAGCGCCGCTCTGCGTGGCGCGACGTTGACGCAGCGCTATGCATTTTGGAGTGCTGACCGTAGGTTTCTGTCAGGGTAAACACAATGGCGCTTCAAGCCAGGCGGCTGGGCGCCGCGGACAGCCGCCGTTGTGTTTACCCTGATGGAGGCCTGTGCTTGGATTTCTAGAATGCGTGGCACGACGATTCAGGACGCTTCATGTTTCTGCTGCGCCATAGAGAGTGTCTGGTGTGCCGTGTCGCAGCACATCCGGTACCTCAGTCAAAGTTTATTCAGTGTGTGTGGTTATTAGTATCGGTGTACAAGCTCGGCACTTAAAACTAGCACACAGTTGTCTGTAAAACTATACAAAGACACAAATAATTTTGTACTCTCTGCTTGGTCTGGGTCCGAGTCATACATGTACGGCTGAATGCTGATCCTCTCACTCCTGCTCCGTCTCACAGTCTGCCTGTCTGTTGCTAAACACAGAGCGGGTGAGCTCTTGGCTCCGCCCCCTTGATACGTTGGGCGGGAAGCCCGAAACTAATTTTCATGTGGAGCAACACACCTCTAAAACAGCGAGCTGCGTACACGCCCCCAACATAACACTTTTAAACACATTATAATAAAAACATTTGAACTGTGTGTTGAACTGAACCAAAACTGGCACACTCAGAAGAACCATAATACTAATATTAAATCATAAAACAGGGGTAAACTATGTGCCCTTTAACTCTTTATTCCCCAAAGCGCAGTGTCTACCCATCTCTCAGTGATAGTAATCTTCACGTCATGATCAATCCTATGATCCCTCGCACTCCACTAGTGTCTGAAGGGAAAGGCACGTACACGTTACTGAATCCGGCACTTCATATTTGGGGATGTATATCGACATTAACACGTACAGGCAAAAGATCCGAACAAAGGAGGAATTATTCATTTGACTCTGAGCCGACTCAATAGAATCAATAGTTTTAAACATGGTGCACGGTGCAGTTTCATGTTTAAACCTCAGCTGGATGTTTCCATTCTCTCAGAGCTGTTACACACTCCATGAATGGTAGCTTTCAAAAACACATAATAGGGGCTCTTTAAAGGATATTGTTTACCCCAAAATAAAAACTTAGACCTTTAAAGATGTAGTTGAGTGTTTGGTTCTTGACTCATAAAGTGCATCATAGTTTTTAAATGCATCATCAAAAATCAGTGTCTACTGGGACTAGTTTTTTAAAGTAAGTGGCTGCAAACAATTCATATGGGCTGAAATAAAACAAACAAGTTAAACTTGGTAATGTTCAACTTAACTTTGTTTGTGTAAATTATAAATTTAAACCTGTATATAAATAGTTTGCAACCACTTACTTTAAAAAAAAAAACAGTACAATCCAATGAATATTCAGTGTACTATATGGTACAATTGAGTTCTTAGGAAGTAAAATTATCAGTCTTAGGAGTAAATATTCACTGTGTGACAAGAAGCTCTCACATGCTCTGGACCGTAATACATGTTAAAAAATAATGTTCTTGTACTTTATTTTGTACATTTTGTTTTACTCTCAAAGTGCTGGTAGCTGTTGAATTGCATTTTATGAATCACTAAGTGTCACAGAAAAAACAACAACAAAAATAATCTGCAGATGTTTTACCGAAGTCAAAAACTAGCTGTGTTTTGGATGGTCTGAAAGTTAGCAAAAAACAAAGTTTTCCTTTTTAGGTGCACTTGAAAACGGTCATAAAGTAGTTAATTTCAAGTGTTAAAACTGAAATGGGGAGGCATGGTGGCTCAGTGGTTAGCACTGTCACCTCACAGCAGGAAGGTCGCTGGTTCAAGCCTCTGCTGGGTCAGTTGGCATTTCTGTATGGAGTTTGTATGTTCTCCCCATGTTGGTGTGGGTTTCCTCCGGGTGCTGCGGTTTCCCCTACCGTCCAAAGATATGTGCTATAGATGATTGCCCGTAGTGAGTGTATGGGTGTTTCCCATTACTGGGTTGCATTGGCGGTTCATTCTGCTGTGGTGACCCCTGATAAATAAGGGACTAAGCCTAAGGAAAATGAAGAAATTAAACTGAAATGTTAGTTATGATATGATTTGTTGTGAAAATGTAGGATAAGTGTTAGCAAGAGTGCTAAATCAGACTAAATTACCCTACAGCGGCTTCACTTTTGACCCATTTTCCTTCTTGTCTTAGGTTTTGGCTGTGTTTACGAGGTGTATGAAACATTACACATGTACATAAAGTTCATACTCATTACTTGGACTTTAAATTTATTTGCTGCTATTTCCTCATCAGACTATGTTAGCATGACCAATATTTGCTTCTTGTTTTAATGGTGTAAATGTTTTGGCTGTCTTTTCTGAGGTGCATGAAACAATATATAAAGTTTATAGTCTCATTCATTACTTTCACTTTAAATACATTTGCTACTATTTTCTCATAATGGTTATTGGTCAGTCCAAAGAGAGAGAGAGAGAGAGAGAAAAAAAAACAGTAGCCTACTTTCTTGTGCTTGGCACTACTTGCCCTGGGATCCGTGTCAGGCTGTTCTGAAAGCAGTTGTAAAGATTGTGCAGAACACTTGCTAATTTCTTAGCGCAATCCTTATTACTGTAATTGATGTCGGGCATTTAATATTTAGCCCAGTCTCCGCCTTTTCTCGGTTCGTCACGCCTTGGTGCGTTAGTGCATGTGTGCGGGGCAAAATGGCTGCTTCCACCTCCCCGCAGACACAAACAATAGCGGAAAAATTGTCTGACTGTAGGTGCTGTAATAAGTCCGATGCGCCGCAGCCGCTGAATGGTGAGTGCATGCACTTCCGCGCCGTGCATGAGCTTGCATGAGAGATGCACACACGCTCGGAGCTTTGCCGCTCTTAAATCTTGCATGGCATGCAATCGTGTTAACATTTAAGACAAGCTCCTGTCACAACCGATGTGCGCTTTAAATCACTGATATGGCAGAAAAATGTCCAGTGAGAGACAGCGCGCGCACAAAAGCCACTCATTCCCCTGCTCTCAGAACACTTTTCGATCTGAAAAGTGATTTTGTGGTGATGTGACGTGTTTGGGTACTTATTAAGCGCAGTTTTGGATGTCCTGTCAATATGACGGCTTTTTTTCAGTGCCCATATGTCTTTATGATTGCTGAAATTAGGCTGAGTCTTCGCCATTTTACTTGAGGTGCTTTTTTTAATGTTGTAATGGAGCGCGTCTGCGCTTTTTCGTCTCTTGGTGACCATTTCGCGCACTTCCACAAAAATATGTTTAAAACAAGACAACTGACAGCACTGCTTATTTCCTTTTATGATAAGTGTAATATTCTGCTTTAATTTAAAGTCTTTTGTCTGTTTTTACCCTCTGGTTATTTCATACAATGCATGTCATCACAGAGGATTTTCAGTTTTAGTCTGAGGAGGAAAAGGGCTGATGTTGCTAGAATTGGGACTAGGACAGATCAAATGACAGAAGACTGAAACGCCCACCGCAGGAACGCTTATTATATTGAATATGCTGAGAAGAGCAAGACCAGCAGGGGCTTCAAAAGAAAATCACAGTGTGCTGCTTCAGTCTTGTACAGTAGTCCTGTGAAATTTGCCCTTTGTAGTAAATGAAGTATGTGCATCTAGTTGTTGGGTTTGAAAAGTCAACTCTATATAACTTTTAGGTCAGACAACCTGTTGTTTTAAGATCTAATTGTCTGTTAGAGTCCTTAAAGGGATAGTTCAGTCTAAAAAAATGTATTTGCTCACTTTTTTACTTGCCTTCAAGTGGTTCCAATGCTTAAAACACTTCATTTTTTCTGTTAAACTCAAAAGAAGATATTTAGAAAAATGTTAGAAACCTGTAACCATTGAAAAAAGTTACTGATTGCAGGTTTCCAACTTTTTTTTAACTACTTTTGGGTTCAATGGAAAAAAAGAAACTCAAACAGGTTTGTCGGTGAGTAAATAAGAGAATTTTCAATTTTGGGTGAACTACCTCTTTAACCCTTGTGCACTGTTCAGGTTGATTACTCTTGTTATGTTCGGGATGAAAACATCCACTAAATTAAACTGCAGTAAAAATGCATCTGATATATATATATATTATTTTTGCATAAATCTGTTAATCAACCTCAGTCCTGATCAAACCACTAAATTGTTTAGAAGTAATGACAGAATTTTAACTGTTTAATTGCCAAGCTCACAAATTTTGTGACTGATTTGGTGAAAAAAGGGCTGATGTTGCTAGAATTGTGATTAGGACAGATCAAATGACAGAAGACTGAAACGCCCACCACAGGAACGCTTATTATATTGAATATGCGGAATAGAGCAAGACCAGCAGGGGCTTCAAAAGAAAATCACAGTGTGCTGCTTCAGTCTTGTACAGTAGTCCTGTGAAATTTGCCCTTTGGAGTAGTTGTTGGGTTTTAGAAGTGAAAACTAAGCAGCTTTTAGGTCAGACAACCTGTTGTTTTAAGATCTAATTGTCTGTTAGAGTCCTTAAAGGGATAGCAGTTCACTCCATATATTGTAATTGCTCACTTTTTACTTGCCTTAGTAGCTTAATGAGCTTCCTTTTTCCGTTGAACACAAAAGAAGAGATTTAGAAAAATGTTAGAAACCTGTAACCATTAAAAAAGTGAATGTTTACAGATTTCCAACCTTTTTTTAAAAGTACTACTTTTGGGTTCAGTGGAAAAAAGAGGGATCGTTCACTCCAAAAAATGTATTTGCTCACTTTTTACTTGCCTTAGTAGAGCTTAATGAGCGTCCTTTTTCTGTTGAACACAAAATAAGATATTTAGAAAAATGTTAAAGTGAATGGTTACAGGTTTCCAACCTTTTTTAAAAGAATTGCTTATGGGTTTAATACTTTAGGGACTGAAGTGCTGCTTCAGTCTTGTACAGTAGTCCTGTTGAATTTGCCCTTTGGAGTAGTTGTTAGGTTTGAGAAGTGAAAACTAAACAACTTTTAGGTCAGACAACCTGTTGTTTTAAGATCTAATTGTCTGTTAGAGTACTTAAAGGGAAAGTTCACTCCAAAAATAGTTGTATTTGCTCACTTTTTACTTGCCTTTTACTTGCGTTCCTGTGGTGGGTGTTTCAGTCTTCTATCATTTGATCTGTCCTAGTCACAATTCAAGCAACATCAGCCTTTTTTCACCAAATCACTCACATAATTTGTGAGCTTGGCAATTAAAAAGTTAAAATCCTGTACATTTTTTTTAAAAAACAATTTAATAGTTTTGATCAGGACTGAGGTTGATTAACAGAAAAAAGTATTTATCTGATGCATATTTTTTTATTACAGCAGTTTAATTCAGTGGATGTTTTAAGACATAGAATCACCCCAGAGTGCATGTAAACATCCCCAGCAGTACGTAAGGGTTAAAGTACTGCAATAGGATGTTGAGGAAAACCATAATAAACCCTTAACACTGATGTATTTGTAGCATTTAGCCGAAAGAAAGGGTAAAGTGTGACTCCAATAAATATGAGAGGAAGATTGTTCAGTTCAAGCAAGAACCTGATTTGAATTGTTAAGGCTTTTTAAAGATTTATTAAATTATATATAACATATAAAGGGTGTCTTTTCACATGTGCTCTTTCAAAATGACCCGGTCAGCTAACTTGCATTTAAACTGATTGTGAGTATTTTATTTTTAAATGATTTTTGTGGTTTAACTTCAATTCAGAAATGTGTGTTTTTGCATTTTCAGGTGGGGAGGGGGCTGAGGATGATGAGGAGGAAGATGATGATGATGAAACCCAAATGCCCCTTACAGATAAGTTGTCCACAAGTCCAGGACACAAGACTCTGTTTTCTTTAGATGAAGAGAGCCCTGAATCCAAAGACACAGACCCCAGAGGTAATACGAATTTTAATCTCTTCTTTTATCTGTTTTATGTCTACTTTTAGTCTATTTTTCTGTTAGTTGTCAAATAAATCAACAGTTGTTTAAATATAGTCTATATAATATAGTCTAAATATATACTATGGAAATAAACCTCTTGCATTTCAAAGTAATGTGGAGAAAATCTGCACATAAATTCACTGTTTATTTACACTTTACAATAAGGTTATATTAGTTAATGTTAGTTAATGTATTTACTAACATGAACAACCAATGAACTACATTTATTACAGTGTTTATTCATTCGTTAATGGTAATAGAGTTATCTGTTAGTTCATGTTAACTCATTGTTTATTAACTAACAATAACAAGCATGTGTTTGGATTTTAATTATGAAATAGTAAATGTTAAAGTATGAAATGCTGTACTAGTATTGTTCATTATTAGTTCATGTTAATAATAAAATAACTAACATTAACTAATGAAACCTTTTCGTTAGGTGTGACTAGTTATCTTCAAAAAACATCTGAAAACGGTTGACAATTTGTCATTTTAAGATCTAATTGTCTGTTAGGGTGCTTAAAGGGATAGTTTAGTCCAAAAAATAATTTGCTCACTTTTTACTTGCCTTCAAGTGGTTCCAAAGCTTATCGAGCTTCCTTTTTTTGTTACACACAAAAGAAGATATTTAGAAAAATGTTATAAACCTGTAACCATTGAGAAAAGTGAATGCTTTCAGTTTTTTTTTTAAAGAACTACTTTTGGGTTCAATGGAAAAAAGAAACTCAAACAGGTTTGTGAGTTAGTAAATAAGGACAAAATAGTACAATCTGTTTGAACTACCACTTTTCAAGTGCATTTTTTCCGGTACAAATAGGAAAAATAAATGTAATAATTACTATTAAATGTTCTTAAAATGACAATATCGAGACTTTTCAAAGCTATCGTCTTTGGTTGCATTTGCGACCATCACCAAAGAGACATAAAAAAGCAGCTTACCTTCTTCCGTGCTTCTCCTAAACAGATGTCACACATTATTCAGACAATCATACACAATTAGTGCTATTGAAGGCTAAAGGCATGCAAGGTGGGTCCAGATTCAGAATCATGTCTGTGACAATATATTGCACTACTTATTGTGACAGACCAACATACAGTATGAATAAGTGTTGATCGGTCCTGAATCACGATTTCTCTGTTTCACAGGCTCCAACCTGTTGAAATGCAGTGTTTGTGGTGCTACCTTTGAGACACGTCGTGGTTTGTCTACCCATTCCCGCTCTCACCTGCGGCAGCCGGGCATGGGCATGTCTGAGAACAGCAGAGCGCCAATTGATCTCCTCTACCAGGCTACCAAGCATCATTCCAGAGATGCGCAATCACCTACGAAGCGCAAACAGCACGTCCCTGTTGTTCCTGTACCTAGCCCCATGAAAGACATTGAAACTGAAGAAGGACTGTCGGACACAAAGCCTCCTGTCATGTTCTCAGCTATTAAAGTTTCCCCTTCTCCAACAACTCCATCTACAGCTGGCTCCCTGCCTTCCTCTCCATTTGTAAAGTCTCGGTCCCCTTCCCCCGTTCTAAGAAAGGCTCCCATCTCTTCGCTGTTACCTGTGTCTTCCCCACTGCGATCCCAGGAGCATAAGATCTTAGGAAAGAGCCAGTCTACAAACCCCTCCGGTCCGACCAAACCATTCTGGGCACCACAGGACACGGACGCCCCATTGAATCTTAGTAAGAAAGCATCTCATGTGCTAAATCAGGGGTTGTCGGAGTCTCAATTCAAAGGTCCAAATCTGAGCAACTATAAAAGGATTTAAATGCATTTTACATTTAATAATACAATGACCAGATTCAGGTTAAAAGTAACAGAGCAAAATAAAGATTTGAGAAATGGCACCTTGGCCCAATCCCAATTCTAGTTTTGTACCCCTACCCCTTCCCCTTGGCCCTTGAAACAAAGTGTAGAGGGGAAAGACTTCAAAATTTACCCCTAAGAAATGGGACATCACTACAACATCTGCACACGTCATCGTGATCTCTTGCTTCATATGAGATTGATGATCGCGACTGCTGTAGTTAATCCAGTTGCGTTATTCTTTTGGTATTTACCTTGAGGAAATCACTGAAGGCAATAATATTATGTTATCATAACGATTTAATGTGGCAATAAGATCGCAACTAAATTGCACATTTACATAGAGGCCATATTCATGTAAACACACCAAAAACAACATTAACATTATAGCAGACACTGTAAAAGCCCATTCCCAACCACTAGACTTTTCTGACAGGGTATTCGAGCGTCTTTGAGTGTCAGAATGTTGTGAGACTGCTATACATGAGCAATGATTATGGATTATAGATAGCGAAATTTAGCCGTTTTATTTTTTAAAGCATGACGGTAAAACACGAACGCGGTTATGAATATATTAATGTGCTTGTTTGTCGTAAAAATCTGTACTAATGAAGAAAAATAATAATTTGTGCATCTCCTTGCTTCAGGTTGCAGCTATACTGCCGTCGTATATCTCCATTTCAAGAGGGGTATCTAGCCCTTCCTAAGAGAATTGCGACACCCCATTCACATGAAATGTTAACTCTTAGTTTCATAGTGGTTTCAGTGTGCATTTCCGAAAACCATTGTTAGCAAACTAAGGTTGCAAGTTGTGTTGTTACAAACATAGTTTGTTGATTAGGCGTTTCCCAAATCTATCGTTCCAATGGAGTTTTGCAAACTGCGTCACAAACTTGTATGTTTGCAACTACACCTCTGGAGCTGCAGTTAGAAACACAGTTCCTGGCTGTGTTCTATTTCCAGTTATCCCCCCTATGGCCTATTCATTTAGAACATTCTAACATTTAAACTTGGAATTATTTTTAAAATAGCATTAAGGTAATCTCTCTTAGGTGTAATTCGCTTTCAAAGAATTTTTACAGTTCAGTTTTAGCGATGTACATATTGACAATTGCACTCCCTTCGCAGTGCACTTAGAAAACATTAATGTCATTTTGAACACTGCCGTGGCTCATGATGAAAGCTATAGGTGACTAATCAGGGTATCTTCTGTCCAATCCATATCCGTTTCCAAACAGAAAAAGAAAAATAAGGAAAAAGAATGTTTTTCCGTTTTTCATTTGCTCACAAGAATCGAAAAAGCGAGATTTTGACTCGATATTTGTTTTTTTAATTTAGGGTAGGAAAATGGATAAACAACTTCAAAATTCATTATGCACATGTAGGCGGTGCTGAAACACCAACTTTCCTTTGATTGGTCAACCAAATCTGAGCTTGTGACGTAGCCCTCAAACAAAGAGCGTTCTGTGGACCAACACCCAGGCTTTTAACTATTATTATTATTTAATTATATAAATAAACTAAGTTTACATATTCTGTCATTTGATCAGTTAGCAGCCTTTTAATCATTTCAATTTTAAGTAGGTTATTTATTAAGCATCTGTTCTGTACATCAGTGGTTCTCAAAGTGGGGGTTGGGACCCCTAAATGGTCGTGGGACAATAAAGAGGGGTCGCCTGGTGATTTCCAAAAATCTGTTTATTTTTATTAAACCATAAGATTTACCTTATATTGTCCATAACCTACTGAAGAGAAAAAATAGTTCTTTATAGTTACTATATACTGTATAGATACTATTATAGTTTATAGTTCTATTGGTTGCGACCCCTGGGGTAATTTATTATATTAAAGACACAGCAACAGTGTCAGATGCAGCAGATTGATTTTATAACACCAGGTTAAACTTTCTGGCCCGTTTACAGCACTGACATACATTAAAAAAAATTAACTAAGAATAGACTTGGGTCTATTGGTGTATGTGAGCCATTGCATGTAATATCTCTGTTTTTATAGCCACCTCAGAGGATATTGGGGGTCATGAGTCACTGGCATTGTCATTTTGGGGGCCGCGGGCTGAAATGTTTGAGAACACCTGCTGGATATGACATGGCCTTGTTAGTTAGAACATCTCTGCAGTGGTTAGCATGTGTCAAATTGTTTAAGTAGACTTTTCAAAAAATAAACAAACATTATCCTACTTAATCATCAGCATCTTCATCATAATTAATATTATTATTAAAATATGATTATATTCATTTCCTACTAAAAATGTATATAAAATTTAATTTCTTAATAAATAGCCTCATTATTTATTTATATGTTTTATATATAGGAAATTAGAATACTCGTTAGCTTTTGTAAGTGATTTTATGTTTTAGAACATAATAAGGAATATTCTCAATAATATTTGTAAAGGAAACATTTACATATATTTCAATTAATATGGAAAACGAGTGCATGTTTTTATTAAAACTAATATTAGATTTTTTGAAACAAAGAAACTATGGGGTTCTTCTCTAACCCCCCATTCACACGAGGCTTTAGCACCAATGCTTGACAGAGGGCGTGTCTGAAGTTGGGGCTGACTTGATCGTCATAGCAGTGTTAGCAAATGAAATCAGTCAGCAATCGGCCACTGTCTGAGCTGGTGTATTTGCATACAGCAATCTGATTGGCTCACGCTTCCGTCGCCGCTTGAAAAGTTGAGAAAGTCCCAACTTCTGCAGCAAGCAACGCCACTGAAGTGGCGCAGACGTGTCCACAATGCAGTTCGGCAACGCCTGACGTCGCCCATTTAAAGTGAATGGGAAGCGTTGAACCTGACACCCAGTGTGAATGGGGCCTAAAGAAGTTGTTACTTCACCCTGTTTAGAGCATCATTATGTGCATTTTACGTTATATCTAACGTGATTCAAATGATGGATTTGTGACAGAGAAACTACAGGTTTTGGGAAACACTCGTCACTAGTGATGCAACAATTATAGATTTTGGTTGCACGATTATAGTCTGAGGAATAATCACGGTTTCACAGTTATCACGATTATTATGGATTCATTCATTTTAAAACACTACTAGTTTAGAGAAATAGCATGAAAACTCTTTATATTTTAAAGTGTGATTGTTTTTTTTTTTTCGGTGCTTAATAACCAATTAATACAGTGCAAACAATAGTCTATTTCTCTTTGGACTTAAAAATAAATGAAAAAAAGGTTTTTGGCACTTAAACATGAAAAAATGAAAAAATGAACAACAGAACAATGAATAAATTAATAAATTAATACATTTATTTATTTATTCATTTATTGTTTAATAAAAAATTGAAACATTGTTTTCCAGTTGTAGCCGCGCTTCATTCTAGAAATGTATAGTTTATCTAAAGTAATGTTTACAAACTAGATAGTATACTATGACCAGGGATACAATCAAAAGCGACATTTTGTGTCTGCCGGTTTGTTTGTTTTTGCGGGAGTTCCATTGACATTTTCCCTCAGGTTAATTCTGACCAATCGAAAAGCAGTTTAGGAAATACGTTGAACAACATCTGGCCAATGAGTAATGTGTATGTTGTCACATGACTGCCTTTTGGTTCTTTTCAACTGGTTCAGAACCAAGGCAATCAGTGTGGTGTGAAAAGGACCCAAAAACGGCAAGAAAATGCTACAATGCATCATTTGTTGCCCTTGGTCCGGACCAATTGAACTGAAGCACAGATGTGAAAGTATCCCTAATCCCTCACACACAATCACTACTGTTAAAACATGAAATAGGGGTGGATCCAGATTAGATTCTCTCCAGATGTGGTCCAGAGTCAAGACTTCGGGAATCCCTTTGCTAAATGCTAATAAAATATTTGTAGTGTTGTGGTCCTCAATTTTCTTCTTGTGCATATAATTTTCTGTTCCTTTCTCTCTTTTCTAGCGATGGACATGGACTCTAAAGACATTATTTGCCAGTTGTGTGGCGCATGGTTTGAAACAAGAAAAGGCCTCTCGAGTCATGCTCGTGCTCATTTGCGCCATTTTGGAATTGAGTACTCAGAATCCAAGGGCTCCCCCATTGACCTGCTCAACCGGTTCATCTTAACTGATGACTTTAAGCACAGAGCCAATTCTTTTCTTTCTGATGGTCCCGAAGACCTGAGGTCCCAGAAGACTAGCATAACCTCCCTCTTACCCTCCACTTCGTCCTCTAAGAGGCCTCTTCCCTCCAGTCCTGTCCTATACAAAACAGCAGCCTCCCCTTTGAAGACAACCATTGGCTCCAAAGCTACCTCATCCACCCACACCCTACTGGGCCCACCGAAGAAGAAGCTGAAACCCTCTGCTTTACAGGTCCTTCGTTTCAGTGATGGAGAAATGATGTCCTTTCCTATAGGTAAGTGTTTTTACATGATCTTTGGAAGAGATTTACTACAAATCACACCATGCTACCTTGAGAAGACATGCTTGACACAATCACTGTTTGTTATTTCAACTGCAGTTGAGTTTGTGATTTGAGTTCGATTAATCGTCCAGCCCTAGTTAATGCATGTCCTTGTCTGTTGTTTGGTCCATTTGTGACATGAGGTAATATTTATGTCTAAACTAATATAAGATTGTTCTGTAAACTTCTGCTAGAGCCGTTGAAAGATGTGAGCTGCGAGTTCTGTGGAGAACTTTTCGAGAATCGCAAAGGCCTCTCCAGCCATGCTCGATCCCACCTGCGTCAGCTTGGGATCACCGAATGGTCTGTGAACGGGTCACCTATTGACACTCTAAAAGAGATTATAGTACGCAGAGGCCTACCAACTATCATGCCTCTGAAGTCCCCCAAATCCCCTTCTTCTCCAAGCCCAGGACTGCCTCGTCACATGCTCCAGTCCTCTTCCCCGTCAGGGAATATTATTGGCCGCTTGCCTTTTCACTTTGCCAAAACACCAAACCATGACCAGCCTGCTATTCACAAAATGTCACCCTCAACATCCACCACCAGTTCTCCGCCAATAGTGGACCTGGTTAAACCAAAACCAGAGCCTGAAATTGTGGAAGTTACCATGAAAGGATCAGACATGGGAGCAGATGAACACTACAGCCCCGAGCCACTACATTCCAGTTTAATCTCTTCAGATAATGTTTATCCAGTCAACTTGGGTACGTTTTTCCCCCCTCACATACATAATGCTTGTTTAGCTTTATTATTTATAATTAATCTGGTAGACTTGGAATTATCCTCATTTTACAACTTCCCTAGAGTAAAACAGTAGAGTTATACCTCTTTTAATCCATTCAGCCAGTCTCCGGGTCTGTCTGGAACATATTTAGCTTAGCTTAGCTAAGACCAGCCAATCGCATTAGATCTTTAGCATCTTGCCTGGAAAAAAAGAGCTTGACTCTTTCGTAGTTACTTTGTGTACAAAGAACTGATGGAAATGAAAATGTTTTATTTTCTAGAACATCTAGACCAGGGGTCTAGAATCCCAGTACCAGGTCATGAAAAAGTTTCTACAGGCCCTCAAGAATGCAAAATTACGCTATATGAAATCCCATTTCATTGTGGGCTTTCCAGTACCCGAAAGCACCATAACAATTTATGTTAAACATTTCTAAACATTTTCTACAAGGGTACAAACACAGCATCGCAATCAGGATCTGTTTGCATTGCTTTGCAACATATTCTAGATGCGCCGACTGTCTTTATAAGATTTAGCCAATTACCCCCATGAGGAGTTGTATTTGTTTGTTTTAGTTTGTTGTTGTATACATTTGTGATATAGATGTAATTTCACATACATACCAACCAAAATACATCACCTGTTTTATTTTGACTTAGATGCTAATGACCCATTCCAATTCAGTGGTTTATGCAAGGTAACCCTGCTAAAAAATCCAGCTTAAACCAGCCTAGGATGTTTGGCTGGTTTCCAGCAATTAACAGCCTAGTTTTAGCCGGACAGGCTGGGAGATGACCAGCTAAAACCAGCTTGACCAGCCTAGCCAGGCTGGGAGCCCAGCCAAAACCAGCTATGTTCAGCTTAAACCAGGATGATCAAGCTGGTTTTAGATGGTTTTAGCTGGTCCCTTTCCAGCCTGACCAGCTAAGACCAGGCTGGCAATGGCTGGGAACTAGCCTGGAAGTGGCCAAAACCCCTCTAAAACTAGGTTGGTTGACCAGCTAAAACCAGCCAACCATCCTAGGCTGGTTTAAGCTGGATTTTTTAGCAGGGAAAATTGCTCCCGCCAGACCCGGAGATCGGCTAAATGGATTCAGAAATGGTAAAACTCAACTGTTTACCTCTAGGTGACTTGTAAAATGCAGTGATGGGTCGTTCTTGAAAAATTCGTTCAGTTTGAATAAATTTTTTATGTGACTCGAGAATGATGAGTCCTCTCAGGGAGTTTGTTCGCGTATGCGCACATTTGTGCAGGTGGGGTAGAAGATAAGTACTTTTTTTGAGTCTTAATTGGGTTTGAGTGGTTCGTTCATCATGGGAAAGACAGAAGCCAATTATATGCAGTCAGAGCCAGAAAAAGATTCAATCCGTTCATCTCTCGAGTCCTTTTTTGGAGTCATCTCTCTTTACATGCTATCACATGATGAACGGAAAACTCAAAAACCTGAAAACTCGAAAGACGAAATAATCATGGGTTCTATCCTGTGCTTTGGTTAAGCTTATATGGGACTGTGTAATGTGAACGAACGACCCAAATTTGAAGATGTGACCTGACCTAATCAGACAAGACTTAGGTTAACAATGAAGGATTATTTTCTCTTCCTTACAGCATTCTAGTTATGATTTGTTTGTAATGTGATCAACTTTTTTGCTAGTTATAGATGTGTTTGGAAGTGACCAGTAACATTTTAATAAAATTTTGGCAAATTGAACCGATTCATTCACCTAGATGAACGAGACTCAAGGGTCCGAGTCAGTAAGATGAACTGCCAAACTTCCCATCTCTAGTAAAATGAGACCATTTACAAAAAAAGAGGAGCGTTCCTTTTAGGGTTGTCACGATAAAGAAATTCAGTACTAATCGATACTGAAATTTTAAAAACGTCCATTCCCCGCTAACATTTGAGCACTGTTGAACGAGTTCTTAAACACTGCTGATTTGCCATTGTGTTCACGTGCTCAACAGAAATGACTGTGATTGGCCATGAAGTTCATCAGTTCACCGAACTCACCGCTGTTTACTGAGTGTAAACACAGATACAAAGACACTGGAGAGTTTTAAAGTCACGTCGATCTGCTGGTTTGTTTATAAACTGGCATACGAGTGATCCTCTAATGAAATGTGGCTTTAAAACGCTCCAGTGTCCCTGTATCTGTGTTTACACTCAGTAAACAGCGGTGAGTTCGGTGAACTGATGACCTTCATGGCCAATCACAGTCGTTTCTGTTGAGCACGTAAACACAATAGCAAATCAGGGCTGTTTAACAATGCGCTCAACAGCGCTCCAATGTTATGGACGTTTTAAAAAATTCAGTATCGATTGGTACCAAATTCCAAAATTGTGACAACCCTAGTATCCCCAACTCAATCTGTTGTTTTTCCTCCCGTCTTTCCTCCGACAGTTATGACTCAGGAGAAGGAGCCTTCGCGTGATATTCGCTGTGAGTTCTGCGGTGAATTCTTCGAGAACCGCAAGGGTTTATCAAGCCATGCGCGCTCACACTTGAGACACATGGGAATCACAGAGTGGTCCGTGAACGGCTCACCCATCGACACGCTGTGGGAGGTCATGAGGAGACAGGGCAGCACTCCTGCATCGGTTGCTTTAGGCATAAAGGAGGAACCAGGACAAGATGGTAGGATTTCATTGAGCAGTCCAGGCTATCAAACCTCTGCCCTGTCCCGAAAATCACCTCTAAATCTGCTCCACTCTGGTTCACGGCTGCATAAGCACGGGCTGGGAAGCATAGGCCTCTCCCCTGCTTTACCTGTGGGGAAACTTTTCGGAGTTCTTCCACTAAAGAAGAAGGTGCTAGTAGAGGAGAAACATCCCGGAGAAAAGACTCTGCTTGTGCAATCGAAAGACTTCTCGTCTCCCCCACAGGACTATTCATTTAAGGGTAAAACCTCAGCTGAGAAACATGGAGTAGGCCAAATGGGTAAGGCTGTATTTTTGTAGTACTCCTTATTTGGTGTTTCTCTATGACTTTGTTTATTAGGTCAGTCAGTGTCTGTGGTGCTTTCTTGTTTGCAAAAGAATGGCTATATATATCGTCACCATGAAATTATTAGGTTTTATCTGCTTTCTAAATGATTTTGAGAAATTGAGCTTCAAAGTTTTGCATTCTATATAGCAAACAGTATGTGTGTAACAATTGTTTTTTAAATAAAAAGTCTTAAAAAGTACACAACTTTAAAAAAAAAAACATCCCATAATGTATATAAGATGTCATTTAATTAGAAACTGTCAATAACTCAATTTTGACAAAAATGTCAGATTGGCAATTTCTGTACCATAATACAGTTTGACACTCCAGAAAACTATAACGCTGTTTGTTTTACTTTTTTTTTCTTTGCTCAATTGTATTTATCTTTGCTTACAATTTGTTTATTATTTTTTATCCATGATTCATTGCCCTACAAAATCACCACAATCAGTCTAAATTCAAGACTTCTTTCCAAAATAGTGCTATTAAATCATCTGGTGAAATTGCATTAATATTGCAATCCATATCGCAGAATAACATTGCAATGTCCAATTTTTTTTCCCCATTATCGTGCAGCCCTAATATATACACACATACAGTTGAAGTCATAATTATTAGCACCCTATTTGAATTTCTTTTTCTTTTTTAAATATTTCTCAAATGATGTTTAACAGAGCGAGGAAATTTCCACAGTATGTCTGATAATATTTTTTCTTCTGGAGAAAGTCTTATTTGTTTTATTTTGACTAGAATAAAAGCAGTTTTGAATTTTTTAAAACTCCTTTTAAGGTAAAAATAATTTTTTCGATAGTCTACAGAACAAACCATAGATATACGATAACTTGCCTAATTACCCTAACCTGCCCAGTTAACCTAATTAACCTAGTTAAGCCTTTAAATGTCACTTTCAGCTGTATAGAAGTGTCTTGAAAAAGATCTAGTCAAATATTATTTACTGTCATCATGACAAAGATAAAATAAATCAGTTATTAGAGATGAGTTATTAAAACTATTGTTTAGAAATGTGTTGAAAAAAATCTGCTCTCCTTTAAACAGAAATTGAGAAAAAAAAGTAAACAGGGGGCCTAATAGTTCAGGGGGCTGATAATTCTGACTTCAACTGTTTGTGCGTCCACAATAGTCACATCGCAGGATATGCAATGCTGCTTTGGATTATAGTTGATCAGCACCACAGTTGAGAATGCATGAGATTTGTGGAGTAACTCCAAAGTTAACCAAAACAGAGTGTAAGTTTATGGTTTGCACAATTTTTTAAAGGGTTTTAATTTGCGTTTAAGGAGAGATTGAAACATTCGAGCACAAAAATGTACAACATTTGTAACTTTATTAAACAATAATTCTCCTTAATTATTAATACAATGAAGTCTATACACTTATTTTACATTTTACATTAGATTTAATTATTTGATTTCTGTATCATAATACAGTTTGACACTCCAGAAAACTATAACGCTGTTTGTTTTACTTTTTTTTCTTTGCTCTTTTGTATTTATTTTTGCTTACAATTTGTTTATTTTTTTTAACAATGATTCATTCCCCTACAAAATCACCATAATCAGTATAAATTCAAGATTTCTTTCCAAATCAGTGCTATTAAGCCATCTGGTGAAATTACATTCATATCGCAATACATATCGCAGAAAAATTAAACATTGCAATGTCCAATTTTTTCCCCAATATTGTGCAGCCCTAATATATACACATATGCAGTTGAAGTCAGAATTAATTTCTTTTTCTTTTTTTAAATATTTCCCAAATGATGTTTAACAGAGCGAGGAAATTTTCACAGTATGTCTGATAATATTTTTTCTTCTGGAGAAAGTCTTATTTGTTTTATTTCGACTAGAATAAAAGCAGTTTTAAATTTTTAAAAACCCATTTTAAGGTCAAAATTATTAGCTCCTTTAAGGTGCATATTTTAGTCTACAATAGTCTACAGAACAAACCATCATTATACAATAACTTGCCTAATTACCCTAACCTGCATAGTTAACCTAATTAACCTAGTTCAGCCTTTAAATGTCTGTTTAAGCTCAAATAAAGTGTCTTGAAAAATATCTAGTCAAATATTATGTACTGTCATCATGGCAAATATAAAATAAATCAGTTAATAGAGATGAGTTACTAAAACTATTATGTTTAGAAATGTGTTTAAAAAAATCCTCTCTCCACAAAACTGAAATTGGGGGAAAGAATAAACGGGGGGAATAATTCAGGGGGGCTAATAATTCTGACTTCAACTGTATATAAACAGTAAAAGGGTTGATGAAGTTGAAGTGCCTTAATTTGTTTTCCCAGACTTGAAAATTTCATGTATTTTTCTTCTGGTGTTTTATATTCCTTGTTTGTCAGGATATTTTCCCTCAGTTTAACATCCTGATGAATAATCTCAAGGTGCTTCATCCTTTTGCTTTCTGTTTCAGATCCCAGTTGTGAGCTCTGTGGATTTTACTTTGAGAACCGGAAAGCATTGGCCAGTCATGCTCGAGCACATTTAAGACAGTTTGGCGTGACCGAGTGGTGTGTGAATGGTTCGCCTATTGAGACGCTGAGCGCCTGGATACGCAGCCGTCCACAGAAAGCAGCAGAGATGCAGCAGAGTTATGCGCAAGGAGTCCGCTATGCCCAAAAGAAGGTATGAAAGCAACTGGAACTATTTTGTGATGCATTAACACTCCCTAGTAATTGATGTTATGTGTAGTTCTGCCATCTTGAAGGTCCCATGACAGTAAACAAAATTTTTTTAGATGTAAGTTTTTAGGATATCTTTAAGCTAGTGTGCTCCAAAAATAGTGATAAAATTCACACTGAGAAGATATAAATGGATCAACGGTTTTATTGACGTCACCTCATAATTCAGTTTCTCATCAAATCTTGACCAATCAAATGCTCTCTAGTTCCTGACATGCCCCGCCCCCTTCAAGATGTTTCACTTTTAATGCTGTCGAGCTCAACCACTCTCACTGGCAGAGCTGTGATAAAACTAAATGCTATTGGCTTTTTTTTAAAGGGGAGGAGCCCCTTATGTCCCGCCCTCTCTTCATGTTTCTGTTGAGATTACGTCAAACATCTAATAAAATAAAAATGCTCATTTCAAAGCACTTCAGGGGACAATCAAATGATCTCTGGATCAGGCGAGAGCACTTTCAGCTTATCTTAGCATCAATGAATTGGGTTATAATAATAATTAAACACCTGCAGCAGGTGCTATGATATTATGCAGTGCTTTAAAAACGTGCAACTATGGAGTCGACTGGAATGGTACAGCAGCAAAGTTCTTTGATTATTACGCTAGAATGAGACTATAGTTACTAAACATATTGGCCTAGAAAATTCTTAGAGCACAATGTAACTAAAGAAGGAAAAATATTGAAACTCTTTGGTCATTTTTGAGCCAGATGCTAATGGTCTAATCTGATTTAATGAGTTATGCTAAGCTAAACTCAAAGCATTCTATTTGTTTCTGTCATTCTTAGTACACAATGTAACAACAGTAGGAAAATTATTGAAACTCTTTTATCATTTTGAGCCAGATGCTAATGGTCTAATCTGATTCAATGAGTTATGCTAAGCTAAGCTAAAAGTGCTTCATTTTTATTTTTTGTCATTCTTAGTGCACAATGTAACTACAGACGGAAAATTATTAAAACTCTTTGGTCAATTTTGAGCGAGATGCTAATGGTCTTATCCGATTTAATGATTTGTGCTAAGCTATAAGTGCTCTTGAGAGTGACTGAACTTCAACAGTGACATTTTTTTAAACTAATTTATATAGTTTTTAAGTTTTAATTTAACTAGATTTATATACACCACCAGTCCACCACTGCTTTCCTGCCTGCCTGACTTGCTGGAATGTTCCAAAATTGGAAATATTGTTTTGGCTTTTTAATTCAACTATGTTAAGCTGTTTTGATAAAATATACACTGAATTGTAACAAGTGCTATAGTAATAAAGATGAATGGAATTAAAACTCAACAGTTAACCATTACAGTTAACACTTAATATATATATATATATATATATATATATATATATATATATATATATATATATATATATATATATATATATATATAATATATTTAGTGAGTCTATTAACAAAAAATGTAGAGTTTTCTTTACAACTTTATTATTAGATTAAGCATTTTTCCTGACCTTTTTCATGTCTTTATTTCAAAATAATGCCTAGCAGCAAACAAATCTAGGGAATTTTGGACCAACGTCTAGGTACAGGGTTTATACGGTCATGGAAAACTTGGAAAATTCATGGAATTTTGACAGCATTTTCAAGGCCTGGAAAAGTTTTGGAAATTTTTGTGTGTGTGTGTGTTTTACTGTGTTTTTTTGTTTGTTTTTGTTTTACTGTGCTTTGTTGTTTTTTCATTTTCTTGTAAGCGCTTTGGGTTTTAGAAAAGCACATTGTAAATAAAATATATTATTATTATTATTATTATTATTAAAAGTCATGGAAATTAGTTTAACAAATGTCTGTATACTTGAATATAGGTTAGTTGCCTTCACTTTTTTTCTGTCCTTGGCCAAATGCTCTCACGTTATTAGCGGTGTGTAAGCAATATCTAAATACATTTTACATAGATAAAAAAATGCATTTAAACTAAATAGATTGTTGCGTGTTTTATGATATGTTGTAATAAGATTGACCCTGCTTTATTTTTCTTATTATTTACCACAAATACGTAAACATTGCATGAAACATTAGGCCATAAAAATTTACTTAAGTCCTGCAAAAAATTTAGTTGTAAAAATGTGTATGTAGATACAAATAGGACTTAATGATGTCGGTAATATGCAAATTTAACAATGACATCATCCAGAGCAGGGCTGTCCAAACTCAGTTCTGGAGGGCCGATATCCTGCATATTTTAGTACCAATTAACCCCAATTAAACACACCTGAACCAGCTAATCAGGCTCTTTAGGTACACTACAATCTTCCAAGGAGGTGTGTTGAAGAAAGTTGGAGCTAAAATATGCAGGACGCCGGTCCTCCAGGACTGAGTTTGGACACCCCTGATCTAGAGACATTTAGCGACTTCTCAAGCACATCTTGGTTACTTTCTGTTAAATATACTGCAACACTGGTCATGTGATGTGTATACTGTGTTTAAATGTACATATCTTGCTCGTCTAATGTTAGTTAAAATGTGCTGCAATCTTTCGCAGAGGTGCAGTTCTGTCGTCTCACCATCCTGTGACTCTGATCCTACAACGCCTGTTTCCCAAAAGCCCACTGTTGCCAAATGGGCGTCTCTCACTTTGCCTCAAAAGAGGGCAATTGGACGGGATGCTAACAGTTGTTCTTGGGGATTGTCCTCACGGGGAGCGGATGCAAAAAGCCGGAGTGCAAGTTCCACTCAGCATGGCCTTATTCCACAGCCTGCCGGTCATCATTCCAACAATGCACTTCCACATGCACAAGTGGCCCACAGTGAACTCAACGTGCGTTTGCCCCGAGGTATGAGCACAGCCTTTAGGCTAATTTTTATTTTTGCCTTGCTCTGCAGCACAAGCCTCTGCTCACTGTGTGCTCACAGCCAAGCATTGTGAAGGCTTTTATTCTTGAGGCACTCGCCACTGTACTATTATTTGTAACAACAGGGGACAACTCGAAGGAGTTGTCATGAAGAAGAAGTCAGCGAGTGGAGTTGCCAAATAAGTGAATTTCACTTTGTGCGATTTATTCATAAACTAATTTCGAGAGGATCACGTGCTTATAATCAACATGGCTGGCTCCTTATCAGCTCCGTAATCAGCCCTATTAGATGATTACGGAAGCATTATAAATACCCTGAGTTTTTCACTCCAGTCATCTTCGTCTTGAAGTTTGGTGTTTCTGTGCGGAGTTTAAGTGTTCTCCCTGTGTTCGCGTGGGTTTCCCCCGGGTTCCCCGGTTTCCTCCCACCGTCCAAAAACATAAACCATAGCCAATCGACTAAAACAAATTATTACCGAATACAACCTGAGTTTACACTTCTCACGGTGACAAGCCAGGGAGTTCTCGAGACCTACCTGACCTCAAACTCCCCTCTCGCCCTTCTAACGGGAGGGAGCCCCGGGCTTGAGGATATTACGAGCTCAGGGCTCTCTCCCGAGACAGCATGCCAAATATGCTTATTGATTTTCAGTTAAGTATGAACTCTTGAAACATAAAATGAGCAGGTTCTGGATGCTAATAGCCCCTTTCACACAGTGATACCGGTAAATATCCGGAAAATTTACGCAACGACTTTATCGGTATATACAAAAAAGCGCTGTTCACACAGGCGAGGACGTTACGGAATTTTTCCGGAAAAGAGCATTCACACATCCATTCCAAAATACCGGTAAATTCTGACATCATTCACCACAAATGAGCTTTAAACGGCTGCGCTTGTGTTTGTAAACATTTGACTAAATTACAAACTCTGTGGATGATCAATTTTGTAAACAACTTTCACAGGATCATATTCGCATGTCGAGATGTTCATAATATGTGCGTGTGCAGGCGCTCACAGGCTGTTTCATGGGCACACGCAAAGCTTGAAGGTAAACAAACAACGGCTTATCATAAGCATCTTATCGATGATTATTTGCACAGTTGGCATTAAGAAGAACATATAAACGTGATCTGACTAACTTCTAGCAGCTAAATGTGTCTGGAAAAATATTCAAAGACTTTTATTCTCACAAACCGCGCGGACGTAAATGCGTCTGACTGTTGTGATTGGCTAAAGCAGAAGTCTTACGTCAGCACGTTCTAGACGTGCACGGGCTTATTCCGAAAATCTTCCTTCTGCGTTCACACAGCGCAGCTTTCCGGCAAATTGCCGGTAATGTTACAACTTCTCTTTCCGGAAAATAGCCAGAACGAATTTACCGGTATTTTCAAAAAGGACCTGTTCACACATACAACCTTTCCGGAAAATTGCCGGCAATTTTCCAGAAAGGTCTGTATGTGTGAAAGGGGCTAATGAAGGACACTCGTTAAAATGTTTGCTTTTAATAAAGTTGTTTAAGTAACATTTTGTATATACAAGCTAACTGCGTACGTAATGCAAAAACCTTTACACAATAAAAATGACAATTTACTGCATAATAATAATATTAATTATAATAATACGAAATGAATAATAATGGAATTGAGTGGTAAGTTTGCTGGTTCAAGAATCGGCTAGGTTAGTTGGCATTTCTTTGTCGAGTTTGCATGTTCTCCCTGTGTCCGCATGGATTTTCCCCACAAGTCCAAAGACATGTGCTATAGGTGAATTAGGTAAGCTAAATTGTCCATAGTGTATGTGTGGATATGGGTGTTTCCCAGTGATTGGTTGCTGCTGGATGGGGATCCGCTGCGTAAAACATACAGTATGCTGGATTAGTTGGCGGTTCATTCCACTGTGGCGACCCCAGATTAATAATGGGACTAAGCTGAAAAGAAAGTAAATGAATGAATGTCAATCATCGGACAACCTGTGCACAAAATATATACATTGTTTTCCCTAAAAGCTTCAAAGGCAACCTTAAGGACTTTACATCAGGTAGTTGTTTTGGTTTTACTAAAGGTGTTGCACATGCAAATTCCCCGAACTTGGCCAGACTCTGCTCCAAGTGGCGCATCTTTGATTGCGGAGCCATGGCCAAAGTTACAAACAAAGTAATGCGCTCCGCCACCCAAAATCATTTTGTGCGCACCCAGAGTGAAGTTGTTACAACCAAACAAAACAAAACTTTCCATTAACTATAAACAATCGCTCCATCGCGCTCACGCGGCTCTCGGTCCAACCCACACTCACCAGCGATACCAAGCCGACCAATCACAGAGCTTGCGCTACGCGTCGTTGATGTGTAGTTACATTTCTTGAGAAGTGCACGTCAGCTATGAGGGCTATACGTCCATGTGTAGGCTGCGCCGTAGTATAAAGCAGAAGTATAAATCAGCCTTAACAATGATCACCTCAGGTGCTGATTGTGTGCTTTATTCAGTGATAAATGCTACCAGTATGCGCTTGAAGACCATTTCACATGACATTTATTGCCATACTAAAAGCGCCAGCAGACCTCACATCTCAAATGAAACTAAAATAAAAAAAATAGCAAACTGTTTAAAAATTAAAGTCAGAACTGTGACAGTGCATACAAGCAACATCAGACACTCAATCGCCTATGTTTTTTTTTTACTAATGTTTAAGAGGCTTAGTATTCATTGATTATAGAACTATCATGTCATTGAATGGGTTTAGTATTTAATGGTTTCGGTTGTTTTGTGTCGCATTTGGAGCAGAAAACAAAACTGGAATCTTGTCTCTTGCAGTTTGCCTTAAATATTTCCTATCTGTTTTCCACAACAACTTGCAAGATTTGCACCTAAGCAGCTGATTTGTTTCTCTGAAGGATTCGAGAGACGGCCTCTTAAACACCCGTCACATGCTGAAGGAGGGGAGGGAGAGAGCGGCCCCCCAAAGCCTCGCTCCAGTACCGTTCCAGCTCTTGTGCCAAAGCCCCCCTCCACCCCTCTGGTTAGACTTGTGGGTAAAATTTACTCGCTCAAGTGCCGGTGAGTAGCATGTCAGATTTATACTTGCATCACAGCCTTGATGTCTACTAAATTAGGAAGCGAGCTGTTTTAGGATAGGCTGTAACAGTGTTTAATCCATGTGCAACATTAACAGTCCCATCTCAGAATAGATTGCAGTTCTAATGACATGACATGGCATAGCAATGACCATTCAGCCCACTTAAGTGCTGGTTTGTAATACTTGGTAATAATTGGTGTCGTTGAAGTTATGGCCTAAAGGTTACAATGTGGTACTTGAACCATTGTCGTGTATGAGTAAACATACTTGACAATATAATACAATATTCACTTTCACTTCACAGTAGTAGCAAGTTCTCAAATATTCAAATGTTTCAGCTGTTTTCATTTTAGTGAAATCAAGTTCAAAGCTAGCATTTCCATCTAGAAGCAAACTTAGCTCCTTATTAGAGCCTTGGTTCATTGTAGAAGTTAGCACAGAAGGTTTGGGAAAGATTGACATTGATAAAACATTGACTCTTGTAGATATGTGAAGTTGACGTCGTTACTATGTAATACTTTTTTTTTGGGGGGGTATTGAGCATTTTTTTTATTGATGCATGGAATTAACTGTGAAAGTGTTTTAGTATAATTCTTAAAGCAAATATGGACTTATACAATTACCGGCCACTTTATTAGGTACATCTTACTAGTACCGAGTTGGACCCCCTTTTGCCTTCAGACTGCCTTACGCCCCATTCACACGGGGCTTCAGTGTCAACGCTTCACAGAGGGCGCGTCTGAAGTTGGGGCTAACATGATTGTCATAGAAGCGTAAGCCAATGAAATTAGTCAACAATAGGCTACTTTCTAAGCTGGTGTATTTGCATACAGCAATCAGATTGGCTGTCACTTCCGAAGGCAGAACTGCCGCTCACTGGATATTTTCTCTTTTTCGGATCATTCTTTGTAAACTCTAAAGATGGTTGTGCGTGAAAATCCCAGTAGATCAGCAGTTTCTGAAATAATCAGACCAGCCTGTCTGGCACCAACAACCACGCCATGTTCAAAGTCACTTAAATCACCTTTCTTCCCCATTCTGATGCTCGGTTTGAACTGCAGCAGATCGTCTTGACCATGTCTACATGCCTAAATGCTAGGGATGTAACGGTATCAGAATTTCACGGTACGGTAATACCTCGGTATGAATGTCATGGTACGGTATTTATTGAATCATTTACAGGAAAAAACAAAACTTATGAAAATACTCCAAAAAAGTGCCAAAAGTGTCAATGACATACAAATTAGCCATCTATCTGTAAGCTTTGAAACAGGAACTTCAATTTTAATAACAAAAAAATATTAAACCATGTAAAAAAATAAAGTTTCAATTTAGTATTGTTGAAAACTCATCACATTCAACATTTAATCACTCACTGACTTAGATAGAGATGGGTTTAAAGGAAAATTATCATATAAATATAATCTGGTAAAAGCTGGTATCTCTGGGCATTTACAATGTCCCCTGCAACAGAAAAAAACCCTCTCATTTGGGACTGAGGTTTCTGGGACAAGAGAGATATGACTTGGCCCAGGTTGACAGCAGTGGGTAACGTTGTGCATTGTCTTTCCCCCACTTGAGAGGACAAACCATGAGTAAGATAGAGGTCTCATGTCTGCATCAATCTGAACAGTGTGCTGACAACACCGCTATTCAGTACGCGCGCGACAACACCGCTATTCAGTACGCGCGCGACAACACTGCTATTCAGTACGCGCACGACAACACAGCTGATAAGAACTCGCGCGACAACACCGCTATTCAGAACGCGCGCGACAACACAGCTGATAAGAACTCGCGCGACAACACCGCTATTCAGTATGCGCGCGACAACACAGCTGATAAGAACTCGCGCGACAACACAGCTGATAAGAACTCGCGCGACAACACAGCTGATAAGAACTCGCGCGACAACACAGCTGATAAGAACTCGCGCGACAACACAGCTGATAAGAACTCGCGCGACAACACCGCTATTCAGAACGCGCGCGACAACACAGCTGATAAGAACTCGCGCGACAACACCGCTATTCAGAACGCGCGCGACAACACAGCTGATAAGAACTCGTGCGACAACACCGCTATTCAGTACGCGCGCGACAACACAGCTGATAAGAACTCGCGCGACAACACAGCTGATAAGAACTCGCGCGACAACACAGCTGATAAGAACTCGCGCGACAACACAGCTGATAAGAACTCGCGCGACAACACCGCTATTCAGTACGCGCGCGACAACACAGCTGATAAGAACTCGCGCGACAACACAGCTGATAAGAACTCGCGCGACAACACAGCTGATAAGAACTCGCGCGACAACACCGCTATTCAGTACGCACGCGGCGACAACACCCGCTTTAGAGTTTTCCGGCTCTTTTTCATCCCCGCTTCTAGCAGCACACTTCATTTCCGCATTACTGGATCTGTAGCGACAACAGACCGCAAGGGATGATGGTCAAGCATGGGCTGATGGGAATTGTAGTTTTCGCTACCTCCCGTTCGCTTCATTCGCCTGAGCAAATTTTCTCAGAAGACCATTAGTTTTACCGAGTCATGCTACTTCGGTAATATCGAAAAAAATTAATATTGCGGTATGACGGTATTTACAATACCGTTACATCCCTACTAAATGCATTGAGTTGCTAGTTGTTAATAAGAAATTTGTGTTAACAAGCAGTTGGACAGGTGTACCTAATAAAGTGGCCAGTGAGTGTATTGTCTATTGATTGTGTTTATATGTGTTAAATATGCAGTCAAGCTTGAAATTATTCATACCCCTGGGAAGACTTTGGAATATTGAGCTATTTTGCACAAGGTAGTCGATGGTGCACTCCGCTGCTCTTGGGCTTTGATCAGTGGAAGCCATTTAAGGGAATGAGTTTCATAGCACAGCGCTTTCCGTATCCAGTGCGAAAGTTGCTTCACATCGCATGTTGATGAGTGCCTGAGGAAAGTGAAACCAGTGCGCCCAACACTGCTGAGCAGCAACAATTAAAAGCCAGAAATGCCATATTATTTTCGACATCCTATAGTTTACTGCATGCTTAATTATAAACGATTATACCAGTGCTCTAGACTTTTTATCATATTTAATTTGTGATTAATTTCTCGTAGGTTCTGTGACGTGGAATTTCACGGCCCTCTCTCGGTACAGGAGGACTGGATCAGACACCTACAGCAGCACATCCTCAACCTGAACTACAAGAAGACCGAACCACCCGCAAACGACTCTCCTGCCCAAAGCGACACTCCTGCGCCCAAACCCCAAGTCTCAGCTGCTACCTCCACGTCCACTGCATCCACAATCCCTGCCGCTGCCCCGTCCACACCGTCCCCCAAATCCCCCACAGCTACACACGCTTCAGCCTCCACCCTCAGCCAAGCTTCCACAGCACCATCACCTGCTAATTAGGATAGGATGCCGTCATCTCCATCCCTAATTTGTAAAGATCAGTCATCTTTGAATATCTGTCATCAAAGGAAGATTTTTACTGGGAATGGTCTCAGATAGCGACCCACTCACCCTGACCTACATCGGGAGCATCTGTTATGATTGAGGAGTGAGGTAGGTGTGTTGCCATGACAGCTCTCCTCTGACTGATCCTTATTTATGAACAGGAAAAGAGTTACTTCTTACATTTGGGTTTGCTTTGATAAGGAGTACATGGTGACTGTAAGTACAGTTCTGTAAGCTACCTGGCCAGCAACAACAGTCGTCGTTAAAAAAAGGAACTCCTAAAACTACAGCCAAACCCTTTACCAGATGTATTGTGTAAATTGTTGACATATCTGAGAATTACAATCAGAAAGACGAACATAAAACTTAACCTAAAATGGTTTCTCTGAAGCACTTAAAGGAAAGTCCCCCCTTATAAGAAAGCTAATCTATTCATTTTGTTCACAGTTTGTAACTGTGATAATTGAGTATAAGCTTACACTGCCATGCAGTTATCAAAAAAAAAGAGACATTTGATTTAGATTGATTCATGACATGCCTTTTCTTTCCTGTCAATAATGCGGTTTTGATGCTTCTCAGTTGAATCTTGCTGCTTAAAGGGATATTTCACTCCAAAACTACTCATCCTCTAATTGTTCTAAACCTGATTGAGATTCTTTCTTCTGATGGAACGCAGAGGAAGATACAGTATAAACCATTTCAATGTTACTGGCTCATGAACATTTCCTGCTTGTTGTCAAACTATTTTGTAACTGTTAAAAGAGGGAATCCAATCATAACTTGATGTTAAATCAGTTATCATAACGTTATTTATCCAGATTTTAGATTCTCGGATGCTATGGAAATGAAAACATGTAAATACGTTAGGACCATTGTTACCGTACGTTCACACCGAAAGCGGCGAGAGCGTCAAAGTAGCCGGAAGTCATTCATTTTCAATGAGAGCTGGCGGCGATAGGCGACGATAATCGGCGAGGAGCAGCGCGGCGCGTCTTCGCCGACGTGAGCGTCGAGGAGAGTTGAAATGAAGTCAACTTTTTGGTAATGAGCTATGACGCGGTTCGGCGGCAAGCAAATCAGAATGAAGACGTCCACCGCTTGATAGCAGTTCAGAGAACACAGACCTGTGAACTTTGGTTCCGACCACAGTTGTTCCCAAGGGTTTGATTATTGCGGTCGCCGGATTTCCAATTATTTACAATGTTTTCTTACAGGAACATGCATTAAATAAGTTACTGGCAAGTTACTGATGTTCATTAATGTTATATAAATTTATCTTTAAAAAGCGGGATTCTCACGCGATGTGACAGTACAAAACAGTACTGCTGCTTCAGGATATTTCAGACATATGGACACATATTGGATAAATAGAGCAAAGCCATACCACATGCAGCTTGATCTTCCATTGTTATATGAATTTGATAAGAAGTGCGCAACATTTTCACGCTAAAAACATGTCTTATGCAAGAATGTAACTGATAATGCTGCAACGGCTCCTTTAAGTACGAGATCAATGTAGCGAGTTTTGACGCTCTCGCCGCCGGAGCTGAAGGCAGACAGCGTTGTCGCCAGGGCGGCCAGAGCGACCTTGGACGCTCTCGCCGCTTTCGGTGTGAACGTACGGTTATGGTTTATATCCCTCAAAATGGTCTATACTGAATTATATACTTCCATAGTTTTGTTCCTGCTATGGATCTCAGTGGCTGCTTGTTTCCAGCGTCCTAAATATTTTGTTTAACACCATGAAGAAACATTTAGAACCACGTGACCGTTAATAAATGGTGTGGAAATGGTAATTTTGGGTGAATTATCCCTTTAAAGTGTGTTCACACTTTGGTTCATTTGGTCCAGTTTAGTGTAATCTTTGTGTGCTTGGCATTCTGTCATTTTAATGACAAAACCTAAAGATAACAAAAACAAAAGGATGTATATTTTAAACTCTCCTAACATCCCAAAACCCATGTGATATACACTACCTGACAAAAGTCTTGTCGCCTATCCAAGTTTTAGGAACACCAAATAATAATTTGACTTCTAGTTGATCATTTGGTATCAAAAGTGGCTTCTATGAAAGGCAAAGGCCTCTAGATTACGCTTATTTTACCAAAATAAAATATGACCATGTCTTGATTTTTAATTATTTAATTAAGACAGTAAGGTCTGACTTTGCTCAGACAAAAAGTCTTGTCACTTAACAGAAATAATGTACAGTATAGAATATAAAGTCATGCTGCTCTGGAATAAGAATGAATATTGTGTATGACTCCCATGAGCTTGGAAGACTGCATCTATACATCGCTGAAATGTTCATCAAGATTCTTTGGATTCATATTCAATGCCTTCTTCATCATCTTAAGCTCAATAATGTTCATGTCTGGTGACTGGACTGGACATTCCTGGAGCACCTCGACCTACTTTGCTTTTAAGAACTTTGATATGGAGGCTAGAGCCACGTTTACACTAGTGCGTTTTAGTTTTAAAACGGCATTTTAGATCAAAAACGATCCGCGTCCACACTAGCGTTTCACCTAGCGTCTCTGAACATATAGCGTCCACACTACGCCACCAAAAACATATATCACGTGACCATTCGCGCACTCTGGGCCTGCGGGTTCTAGTATAAACAGAAAGCATGCGTCTCGCTCGGCATTTGGTTATTGTTAGTCAACAAACGCCGGTTGAACATTTAACGCGATGGCAAAGGAAGCAAGAGAGGTATTTTTGTGGACAGACAACGAGGTCGAGTTGTTACTAAACGTAACAAATGAATAACTGCACAATGGCACCTAAAACAGACAATAATGCAAACAACGCTCCCATTTCTGTGCCCATGTTGTTGTTTACAGTACTGTCTTCCGGTAGCGTTAAAGCCATGTGTTATAGTCATGTGATAGGGACTTGATGAATAAAGGAAGGAGGATACGCAATGACACAAAAGCCCCAATCAGGTAGCGAATCTCAGAAGTCTCACCTCCGTTTTCAGATGTCTCCGTTTTTCCTCATTCACACTGAAACGAAGCATCAGCGTTTTAGAATTAAAACGGGCTCTCCAGCGTTTTCAAAACGCTCCGCTTTCAGTGCTCGAGAACTCCGGCGTAGTGTGGACGGATGGCGTAACCGTAGCAAAACGTATGTGTTTTAAAACGAAAACGCATTAGTGTTAACGGGGCCTAAAGTGAGAAGGAGCGCTATCCTGCTGAAGAATTTGCCCTCTCCTGTGGTTTGTAATGTAATGGGCAGCACAAATGTCTTGATATCTCAGGCTGTTGATGTTACCATCCACTCTGCAGATCTCTTGCACACCACAATACTGAATGGAACCCCAAACCATGATTTTTCCTACACCAAACTTGACTGATTTCTGTGAGAACCTTGGGTCCACGTGGGTTCCAGTAGGACTCCAGCAGTTCAACAGATTATTCTTTAAAAAAATCGACCTTCTGCCACTTTTACATTAACTAGAAGTCAAGTTATTATTTGTTGCTCTTACAACTGGGATCAACAACAAGACTTTTGTCAGGTAGTGTACATCTAATTATGTGCATGTGATGGTATGTTCGTTAGTTGAGAACTCACGAAGAGCATGTAAAATGTGAGAAAGGAGTGAAAAAAGTAGCAGGAATTCCTCCAACTGAAGATCTGCTGAAAGAAAGAAGTATTTCTGATGCCTATATTGAAATGTACAAACTTTTTTAGTTCGTTTAGAGGTTTTAGTTCTGTGTTGCTTTTTATAATTGTGTCTTACCGCATTAGAGGTTGTTTGGAAGTGGATGGAGACCAGTTTTTCTTCAAAACAAACTTGAGCACTGTTGTCTCACAGCATGAAGATCACTGGTTTGAGTCCCAGCTGGACCAGGAAGCATTTCTGTATGAAGTTTGCATGTTTTCCCTGTGTTCGAGTGTGTTTCCTCTGGCTGCTCCAGTTTCCAGTCCAAAAACATGCACTATAGATGAATTTAATAAACTAAATTGGCCGTAGTGTATGAGTGTGTCTGTGAATGTGAGAGTGTATGGGTGTTTCCCAGTACTGGGTTGTGGCTGGAAGGGCGTCAGCTGTGCAAAACATATGGCAGAATAGTTGGTGGTTTATTCTGCTGTGGCGACCTCTGAAATAGAGACTAAGCTGAATGAGTGAATGAACTCGAGTCAATTGTAATCAGACCAAACCTGCCGAGTGTGAACACACACATAAGAGTTATTGATCAAATTTGTCTCCAACCAAATGCTGCTAAATATTTAAAATAAGCTAAGCACACTTAGTTCAATGCATCGTTTTAGCACATGACCAACATTTGTACAAAGTGAGCTTGGAAAAATTCCGAACATGCGTATTTACGCCTTTGTTGCCATTTCATAGGGCTCGTTATTTTGTAGCGCGTTTGCACAAGCTTCGCTTAATCCTAGATTGCTTCATTTTTACTGCAGCTTTCTCGCTAATTTGTAGCTCCAAATGAAACAGTTGACGTAGCTGTCTAAAAAAATAGTCTTATTGTTTTTTTTTAAAAGATAATGATGATAACATACAGTGCATCCGGAAAGTATTCATAGCGCTTCACTTTTTCCACATTGTTTATGTTACAGCCTTATTCCAAAATTGATTCAATTAATTTATTTACTCAAAAGTCTACACACAATACCCCATAATGACAATGTGAAAAAAGTTTTAGAAATTTATACCAATTTCTATAAAATAAAACCCTTGAAAAGTCACATGTACATCAGTATTCACAGCCTTTGTCGTGAAGCTCTAAGTTGAGCTCAGGTACATTTTGTTTCCACTGATCATTCTTGAGATGTTTCAGCAGCTTAATTGGAGTTCACCTGTGGTCAATTCAGTTAATTGGACATGATTTGAAAAGGCATACACCTGTCTATATAAGCTCCCAGGGTTGACAGTGCATGTCAAAGCACAAACCAAGCATGAAGACAAAGGAATTGTCTGTAGACCTCTGAGACAGGATTGTCTTGAGGCACAAGAAGGGCCTTAGTCAGGAAGATGATCAATAACCCAATGGTCACCCTGTCTGAGCTCCAGGGTTCTTCAGTGGAGAGAGGAGAACCTTACAGAAGGACAACCATCTGTGCAGCAATCCACCAATCAGGCCTGTATGGGAGAGTGGCCAGAAGGAAGACAAGCCAAAGTTGAGATTAAAATTAAACTCTTTGGAGTGAATGCCAGGCATTACGATTGGAGAAAACCAGGCAGCGCTCATCACCAGGCTAATACCATCCCTACAGTGAAGCATGGTGGTGGAAGCATCATGCTGTGAGGATGTTTTTCAGCAGCAGGAACTGGAAGACTAGTCAGGATAGAGAGAAAAGTTGAATGCAGCAGTGTACAGAGACATCCTGAATGAAAACCTGCTTCAGAGAGCTCTTGACCACCTCAGACTGGGGTGACTGTTTATCTTCCAGCAGGACAATGACCCAAAGCATGCCGCCAAAATATCACTGCAATGGCCTCACAACTACTGTGAATGTCTTTAAGTGTCCCAGCCAGAGCCCAGATCTAAATCCTATTGTACATCTCTAGAGAGATCTAAAAATGGCTGTACACTGTCCCATCCAACCTAATAAAGCTTGAGAGGTACTGCAAAGAGGAATGGGCAAAAATTCCCAAAGACAGGTGTGCCAAGCTTGTGGCATCATATTCAAAGACTTGAGACTGTAATTGCTGCCAAAAGTGCGTCAACAAAGTATTGAGCAAAGGCTGTGAATACTAATGTACATGTGACTTTTCAGCTTTTTTATTTTTAATAAATTTGCAACCATTTCAAAAACTCTTTTTCCACATTGTCATTATGGGGTATTGTGTGTAGAATTTTGAGGAAATAAATGAATTCAATCTATTTTGGAATAAGAGTGTAACATTAAAAAAATGTGAAAAAGTGAAGCGCTATGAATACCTTCGGGATGCACTGTAGCCTTTCGTATTTT